GCACATAGACTGCCAGATTTACATCATCAGCCGCTTGATTGAAGTCTATCGCCTTTTGAGACGTCTAGTACTCAGGGTCAAGATATCCGAGCGTACCCTGAGCACACGTAGATATGTGGCTCATATCAGTGTGAGCCAACCGAGATAACCCGAAATCTGAGACTTTTGCAGTCAACTTCTCATCCAGCAATATGTTGCTGGACTTAACATCTCGGTGATATATCGGAGGAACTGCCGAGAAATGAAGGTAAGCAAGGCCCTCGGCTGTGTCATGCGCAATCTGGAGACGGCGAGTCCATGACAGTTTACCCCATCCTTCACCCCGGAGATGATCATATAGAGTGCCATTTTCAATGTACTCGTAAACCAAGAGCGGCTGCTCAAGCTCGACGCAGCACCTGAGTAAACGAACAAGACTTCGATGATTGACCTGGCACAGGATTCGAACCTCGTTTAGGACCTGATTAGTTCCTTTGGTGTTCCCGAGTTTCGCACACTTGATGACGACGACAGTGCCATCATCTAGGATGCCTCGATAGACTTCGCCATAACCGCCAACGCCGAGAAGGCGGTCCTTGGAAAAGTTGCCTGTCGCTTTCTTTATTTCTTTTCCAGTGAATAATTTGGCTGTTTTGCCACCATTGGCATTGAGGATATCCTCACACTCTTTGGCGAGGCGCTCTTGAGCCTCTTTAATGCGCCGATGACGCCTGTATAGCAACAGAGCAACAATGGTTGCGAGAAGGGTCGTACCTATTCCGGATATTAAACCTGTACCAATTACAAAGTTGTCAGACAGTAGGGAACTACTGCATTCGATCTCTAAAGACAGCGGCAGCTGAAACCGCAACGGTCATCTTCTAAGTTCTAAGAGTTATCATGAACGAGGAACTCATCTAGATGCAAATACTGATGATCGGCAAATTAAACATGAAAGGTCTAAACATTTTGTTTCTGAACAATCTTGTTAAATTGGGCTATCTTGGTTAGGTGGAGCTCGTGATTTCGTAGGCTAAATTCAGTGGAATCAAGAGCCATGCTTTCAAATGCCGGTATCAGCTTATGATCTGTAAAAGTAAAACCAAATTTCAAGCTTAAAACCTGTGCTCTTCGTTAAACGAAATTATAATGCAGAACATTTCAAGATGTTATAATTAGAACAAGGAAACAGGTACCTGCAATAAGAGGAGTCATGTCCGTTCCACATCCACCCGGATCTTGACATGTCACATCTGCACCAAAAGAACAAAAAAATCCACTTGTCACCCATTTTCTTTTTTTTAGTGTCATCCAAGAATCATAGACTATGTAACTCTATAAATTAGTAATCCGGACGTAATCAACAGAAACGTTAGAGCAATCAAATGATGTGTCGTGGTAAAGGAATGCGGGCTGATTGTTACTCTGCACCAAAACATACGAAAGAACAAGAGTGCCAAAAACACTTCAAAGTTACTCTCCACACAAACTCCTTAGGTGGGGTCCCACGTGAGCCCAGCATGGCAGAAGCACCGGCTGACCGCGCTCCCCGCCGGGTCAGCCCGGCACGTTGAGTTCCCGTCGCAGTCGGACTGGGCCCCGCAGACGGGCTCCGGGGGCAGCACCCACTGGATCTCCATCCCGGGCTTGGGCCAGAGGCTCACGGGATCGCTCGTGTCCAGGTTGACGAAGCTCGTGTACGCCTGGCAACCCGCGTCCCTGACCCGGATCGAGTACAACATCGTGGACCCGCCCGCCCGGAACGTGCAACATATCGGAGCGGCCCCGCACGCCGCCGCGCCGGGCGTGTTGTTCACGTACATGTGGCAAAGGCTCGCCGACGAGTAGTTCAGAGGCGAGTTGAGCAGCGTGGTGGTGCAATTGAGGTAGATGATGGTGTGTCGATCACGTAAATGGCACACCCAGGAACACCATAATTAAAAACTGAAACTCATATATGAAGAAGTTATCGATTCGCGTACCTAGTTTGGAATCCATCGAACTTGATGCGGAATTGGCAACGGTTTCCGAACACGAACTCAAGTGCTTCTCCCCTATATCCATTGGCGGAACACTGGCATAATGAGATTGCCACTCACGAGAAGAAAGTCCTCTCTAGATCCGTATGTGAGTCAAATTGTGCATCATCATGTTAGGGGAGGGACTTGAGCGCTATTTATAGAGTTTTCGACCACGTGCCCTCTCATTACGGGCCGGGCCGTACTTGACCCACACTAGCCAGCCCCATATTAGACTTATTAAGAACCCACATATCTCATCTTTATTAGACCAAACTAATTTAGTTAATTTCAATTAATGAAGCCCACATTAGGAAATTCTTACATGGTGTTGTTGCTGGTGACGTTGAAGGGCAAGGAGGAGTTGAGCTGGACACCCTAGTTGACGAGGTCGGACGTGACGCACGTGTTGGCGAGCAGGTTCGCGGGCTGGATCACGAGCTGCTGGCTCTTCGGGTTGACGGAGGTGATCGAGTATGAGTTGTTGACTGTGTCGAAGAGGAGGGTCCCGCCGATGTCGCACTGGACCTTGCACGACTGGTCACCGCATGTCGGGGACGTGCTCAGCAGGTAAGGGACCAGGGTGGAGCCACAGTCTGGGCACCGTGTGGCGGCGTAGGACAAGGATAGCAGCGGCAGCGCCGCCGCGAGGAGGAGGAGGGCAGCGGCGGTGGGGGGCATCGCGTGAGGGAGGGGGATTACTATCGTGGTGGGAACGAAGACTCTGCGAACCGTGATCAAGGGGTGTGTATAAAAATGGTGGTGGTGGCGGTGGGGGAGGTTGTTGATTGTCAAAGTTAGTGAACAAGAGATGGTCTCATGGGAAGATTCATATGTTCACAAGAAACTGGTACATCTGTGACAATTTTACCCTCCGCTAATTTCCATTAAATTTTACCGTCAAATTTCTAAATTGGATAACATGTGGCAATTGACGAGTGTACCAATTTGGGGTTTACTCTCTATTTGTCACAAGTGTACTAGTTTGTGATGTTTCATGGTACTAATCCAATTTAACGGAGGATAAATTTATCACAAATGTACTAGTTTGGGGTTTTTCGTAGTCAAAAAATTAGTTTAGAGTAAATTTGTCATAGGTGTACCGGTTTGGGGTTTATTGTAGAGGTGAGCATGATCTGGGTAAGCGGCTCTCACCCTGGAACCGTGGACCGCCCGCTAACGATCGGTTCCAAAAAATTGGAACCGAGAACTGCTCGTCGGTTCCATGGACCCACCCGAGAACCAGACCGTCAGTCCAGTCCGGTTCCCGAGTGGGTCCATGGAACCAGTCCCACTAAGTTTTCTTGGACAAATAAAAAAATGGACTCGTCTAATTCTTACCCATTGGTGGGTTGTGTTCACCACATGCTACTTTGACTTACCTCTTAATGCACATGTGTGATGTATTTTCAGTGTACACAGAACACCCTACTTTGGCATTTGATTTCACTAATCTGATACAGAAGACATGCACTTCCATTTAAAATGGTTTGATGCAGAACTGCCTTCTACAACTTTCCAAGTTTCTACACAACCTGCTCAAGCCTCAAGAGTCAAGAGGCTTTCATTTAAGCTAACAAATTGAATGAGCCTAAAACCCTCAGAAACAATGACAACAAGATTTGCCACAAAGTTCAATTACACATCACAACAAGATTCGTCACAAAATTCATGACTTCACAAGCTTCACATCAAATACATCCGTAGCCTATATTATATATTACACATGGGAGTTTGCCACAAGTTCACAATAGTCAGCAAGCAAACAAAACAACAACTCTCCTATTTTCTTTTCTTTTTTTTAATTTTGGTCAGATTTTTTTAATTAAAAATTTAAAAAAATAAATATAATATTATTATATTACCGGTCCGGTCCGGTCCGGGTGGGCGGGTGGGCGGTTCCACACTGGGAACCGGAAACCAGACCGGTACCCACCGGTTCCAAAAAATTGAAATCGGGAACTGGACCGGTTCCCTTGGGAACCACCGGTTCCAGTCCGGTTCTGGGCGGTCCCGAGCGATCCGGGCGAGTCCCGGTTCTTTTGCACACTCCTAGTTTATTGTGATCAAAAAATCAATTTAAGGTAATTTGTTACATGTGTACAGATTGAGGGTTTTTCGTGGCATTAACTCTATGTTATATTTCGTTATAATTTAGTGCCGCAACTTATTTTTGGGCGATAATGTAAGGATAAATTTGATTTTTTTGACAAAATGTAAACGGAATGTGCTGAGTTAGCACCGGCAAATCCACATGTTGCCGCATTCATTCCTATCATGTAAATGTGACTTTTTTTTTCAATAACTATATAAATTTGAAATAAATTGACAAAACCTAAAGTTTTTTTTTCGGTGAAACATAAATTAAAGATACTAAATCATAGGCTCGCTTTATTTCCCACCCCTTATTAACTTCTTACATCTCATATTATATTAAATCGATTATACTGTTCATTGTGAATCCCACTCTAAATTTAAGATTATTTTTTACATTCCTTACATTCTTTTTCTTCTTTTTCTTTTATTTCAATTTTGTAAAAGACAAAACTATCCATGCTCCTATCAAATGACATTCCGGAAAGAATGTACGAGACGATTCATTGCGATCAGGGGGGGTGTCGGGGTGGAAATAGCGCGAGCCAACCATATTCCGAAAAGGGCCAAAAAAAAATACCAAAAATGACAGATCTCCAAAAACGAAACTCGCCGCACACGCCACGCAGCGGGAAAATCCTTGCAAACCGCACCGCCGCCACGTTCCGCCGTCGCGATTCCCGCTAAATTAAAAAAAATCGCCGCCCGAGCGAGGGGACGCTCTCCGCCCTCGATCCGTCCACGTCACCCCGTTCCCCCACACCGCCTCGGGCCGACGTGTCTGGAATCCACGCCGGCTTCACCAAAGAGATCACCGTGCAACCCGCGGTGATCTTATCAAAGGCCGAGTCACCGCTCTCTCTTCAAAGGGCGAGTCACCGTCACGACGACGACGCAGAGATCGCCGAAGATCCCAGTGGCGAGAGCACTCTCTCTCTCTCGAGCGAAATCTCGCCGGCGACGATGAAGCCGTTCGGCAGTGCGGATCTGCTGCGGACGCCGGCGGCGATCGTCAAGGTCCTGGCGTTCGCCTCCGTCGCCTTCGTCTTCTTCTACCTGGGCAAGCACTGGTCCGAGTCCGACGGCTATGGCCAGCTCGTCTTCTTCTCCTCCTCCTCCGCCGCCCGCCAGCGGCCTCCCTCCGTCGCCCTCTCCCCGAATTTCAACACATCCTTCGACCTCTCCTCCCTCGTACCTCGGAACCAAACCCTAGCCCTCACCCCACCGCCGCAGGAGGGGACCGCCGCCGCGCCGCCTCCTCCTCCTCCTCCTCCGCCTCCGCCGCCGCCGCCGGCGATCGCGAGGTTCGGAATCGTGGACGAGAACGGGACGATGACCGACGACTTCGAGATAGGGGAGTTCGATCCGGAGTTTATCGACGAGGGGACGAGTAATGCGACTGAGATCGAAGGGACGGGGGGCGAGAAGATTGGCGCGAGGGTTCGGGTTCGGAAGTACAAGCTTTGCCCGGAGAGTATGCGGGAGTACATACCTTGCTTGGACAATGCGGAGGCCATCAAAAGGTTGAATTCGACGGAGAGAGGCGAGAGGTTCGAGCGGCATTGTCCGGAGAAAGGTAAGGGGTTGAGTTGCTTGGTTCCGCCTCCGGCAAGGTACCGGCCTCCAATTCCTTGGCCAAAGAGCCGGGACGAGGTAATTCGTCGTTTGATGAGTTTGGGTTGTGCTCTTCTTCTTCGAATTTTAGAGAAATTGAAGCACGTGTGAAGACAATGCACAGTTTAAAGAATTCCGGTCACAGTTATAATGTTTGCGGAGCTTGGATTGTTGTCATTTTCCGTTGCCTATATGCATTCATTTATGCAATGGAGTTAGAGAAGAACATTGTGTAGTCTCTATTCTTGAAAAAATCTTTTTACCACCTTGATTGCGTTGCCAATCTACGGCTGTCTTAACTGTGGACTTAGATTTTGACCAAAAAAAAAAAAAACTGTGGACTTTGATTATAGGATAGTATAAGTTTGAGCACCTTAAACAGTTGCCAAATCCTTAATGAAACAGGTATTTGAGCTTCTTTTGGTCCTTAGTACGGTAAATTCATTGTAAAGAAATTTTCCAATTTTCAGGTTTGGTACTACAATGTTCCACACCCTCGACTGGTTGATGACAAAGGTGGTCAGAACTGGATCTCCAAAGAGAAAGACAAGTTTAAATTTCCTGGAGGTGGTACTCAATTTATTCACGGAGCAGACAAATACTTGGATCAGATTTCTCAGGTCTTTAATTTGTATCAGTTAGTCTTAAATGCAAAAGGAAGATCCGAGTGGGGTCCGTGAGAATAAATGGTTAATTCTTGTGTGACTGATGTTGAATTTTCTACTCGTGCTTGTAGATGGTGCTTGACATTGCTTTTGGTCGACACACGCGAGTTGCTCTGGATGTTGGATGTGGTGTTGCAAGTTTTGGAGCCTATTTGCTGTCTCGAAATGTCATAACTTTGTCCATAGCTCCAAAAGATGTTCATGAAAATCAAATTCAGTTTGCACTTGAGCGAGGTGTCCCTGCAATGGCGGCAGCATTTGCAACTCGACGCTTGCTATATCCAAGTCAAGCTTTTGACATGATACACTGTTCACGATGCAGAATAAACTGGACTCGTGACGGTAGTGACTCATGTTTCTTACATTCTTTTCTTATGTGGTGCAATACCGAGATAGATAGTCGCTGTAAAATGTTGGGGTTTGCAATTGTTAATTGAGTATACCGGCTGATTTAGTGATCCTTAAAGGCAAATTTTCCCCATGCAAGTCAGCATGAGCTCTGTTCCCATGTCTAGTTTTAGAGACATCAAAGGAAGAGAGATGAATGTGATTCAATTTGCTTATTTTCTTGAGTTACAAGGAGAGGCTTAAAAAATTTTAAATTCTCTTGCACACATATAGATTGCGTGGTTCAGGTGGATCTGCGGAGCTGCTTTGAGATTATCCTGTACCAAGTACTCATGAAAGCGCATATTGCATGTTCTCCTACAAATCAGCAAAGTGGAAGAAATTATCTCTTGTTTCTTCATATTCTTGTTTTTCATACTTTCTACTTTGTGAAAGGGGAGGCGAGGTCATTATTTCAAACTTTTGGAAAATTTTCTTAGTATGTTTCCAATCTGCATGGCAACCTTTTAAGATAAGTTCATTTATTGTTTTACACTCCATTTAGTCTTCATATGTTCTGATTTTGATCTTAATCTCTGCATCATGCGGTGAAGATGGTATTTTGCTGCTTGAGGTCAACAGGATGCTTCGGGCTGGAGGCTACTTTGCCTGGTCTGCACAGCCAGTTTACAAACATGAGGCTATTCTAGAGGAACAATGGGAAGGTAGCGCACACGGATTTTCTTTTCTCATTTTATTATTGTAGGATGTTTTGTGTTTTTCTGTATGAATTTTCCTCTAACAGCTAAAAGCTGGTCACTTGAATTGAGCATCTAATTGGGCTTCTGTTTGCTTCCGCTTGGGCTAAATTGAAACCTAGTGATTTATCTACTGGGTCTGTAAGGATGAAAGATGAATCTGCCATTGGGTATTACCTTATCATCTTGAACTTTTGCATGCAGAGATGCTTAATCTTACTACTAGTCTTTGCTGGGAACTTGTGAAAAGGGAGGGACAAATTGCAATATGGCAAAAGCCATTGAACAACAGCTGTTACCTGAGCCGTGAGCCAGGGACCATACCTCCACTTTGTGAACCTGAGGACGATCCTGACAATGTCTGGTATTGCGCTTTCTTTGTTTAGTTGTGATTCTATGGTAATTTTGGTGCAAGACATACCGTTTTGTGCAAAAAGAGAAAATGACATACTTTTCCGTTTATAGAGATAATATAGTCATACGTGGTGAGCTAATCAATCAATGGCTAGCCATGATAATTATTTTCGCTGTCAAGTTGGCAGAGTGCCGCTTTGATGATCTGTGGTTTGTTAACTGCCATACCGCCAGAAACATGTGGGACTTCAAAATTTTAGTTTGTCTCACCGTTTACTGGCACAAAGTAAACAGTGTGACATTTAATTATTAGACATACAATGTTGCCAATTTAAAGAGCAATTTTAATATTGGATCTTTCTATACCTACTACTCCAAGCAGTTGTAGCTACAAGTGCATTTGTCATTTTGAGTCTAATAAAGAGATCGGAGTTTCCAATGCTGACACTTTGTTCTTTGGAACAATAATATCATATTTTCTGTTCCTCGTCAGGTTAGTGGGTTGTAGGTTGGTTGGGGATGTAGCTTTTTTTAGCCTGATACATTGTTCCCTTGTTATGCCTTGTTCTCTGCTATGATGATGTCAAACACATGTCAACAATGTTTCTTCTGGGGCTTTTTACCACTATGATATTTACATGATCATGTCAGGTATGTTGATCTGAAAGCATGTATTACACGACTTCCTGAGAATGGATATGGAGCAAATGTTACCGCATGGCCTGCAAGATTGCAAACGCCACCCGATAGGCTCCAGAGCATCCAAATTGATGCTTACATATCCAGAAAAGAACTTTTCAAGGCAGAATCAAAATATTGGGACGATATAATAGCAAGCTATGTTCGAGCTTTACACTGGAAGAAATATAAAATGAGAAACGTTTTGGACATGAGAGCTGGCTTTGGAGGGTATTGTAGCCATTCTCCTCATCCTATTATTCCCCTTTTGAGTAGTTGTATCTCAATTGTTAATGTTTTGATTTTGGCAGGTTTGCGGCAGCACTAATTGCTCAGCGACTTGATTGCTGGGTTCTGAATGTGGTTCCTGTCAGTGGCCCCAACACATTGCCTGTCATATATGATCGTGGCCTTATTGGAGTTATGCATGACTGGTACTTGACCTCTATGTATCTCATAGTAATTGCCAGTATTTACTTTCCAATTTAAGTAGCCTTCTATGGTTTTCTTTCCATCACAAGCACTGCTGCTCTTTGAGACTTAATCACTCGCAGTGGTGTTTGGCTCGCAAGCTTAGCGGACAATTCTAGACAGATATTCTTTGGCTTTTAAACTGCTATCAGCCTATTTATACTTAAACAGAAATAAGTTGCGGTTTGTGTATGAATAATTCTGTTTTTGTGTGGACTGTGCATCTTGCCCAGCATCCCATATTTCTGTTATACTATTAGTTCTCACAGTGATTATTGGTTTCTTTTATATAAGCGGGGTTGATGGATTTGGTATCCATGGTTGAATGGTTGTATTAGGTGTGAGCCCTTTGATACATATCCCAGGACCTACGATCTGTTGCATGCAGCCAGCCTCTTCTCCGTGGAAAAAAAGAGGTATTACTTATTCTCTTGGTCTGAAAGACGGTAGATGAAATTGGTCTACTTCTCTTTCTTTCTCAGGGACTTTTATGGTTTCTCCGTAGATCATAGCAAGTTCTTTCTGGATTCATTCATTCTCTACCTAAATGCTTTGGGAAAAATGTGCGATTCATATAAAGCATCTCTTTCTGAGTATTTTTTGATGTCTTTGTTTTTATGTGTCAGATGCAACATGTCCACTATAATGCTTGAGATGGATAGGATTTTAAGACCCGGTGGCCGTGTATATATTCGCGATTCCCTCTCAGTCATGGATGAGCTTCAAGAAATCGCTAAGGCCATGGGTTGGCAGGTTGCTTTGAGAGACACTGCTGAGGGTCCTCATGCCAGTTACCGGATTTTGACATGTGATAAGCACCTTTTGCATGCTTGAAAGCAGTTGGGAGAAAGTTAATCGGATATCTCATTGTTGACCCCAAAGAGGTGAATGCCAACCGATATCGACGGCGAAGATGCATATAGGAACACCAATCGAACTGCGTCTAAAGTGAATTATCTGATGTTCAGGATACGAATGTGATTTGTGGAGATCTTGCAAGTCCATGACAGCAATGATCGTTCCACATGGTAGGCGTTGGCGGTGCTAATTTGATTGCAGGGGTACAACACATACGAAAAAGGATGTCAAAGAAAATAGTCTTCCTGTAATTTAGACTGTATTCTCATAGTGCTAACAATTTTTTTTTGTGAAAACATTAATTATTTTTCTACTGATCAAGCTGGAAATACGTGATAGCTATTTGGTTCTATATTGTACGATACTTGGCAATAGCAAATAGCAATTTTTCTCGCGCATAATCGTTCTTTGAATAACTACAGCCGATGGTTGTATATGTTTCTCTTCTATCACGTCTTTTTGAATGAGTTCCTTGACAAAAGTGAGATAGAGTTACCAGAGATCCATTGTTTCTCCCAATCTCTCATTATTTGGCATTTATTAGACAGAAGAATGACTCTTAGATAGCGTTTGCCCTAGAACAACACCCGGAAAAGGTAAAAAACGCCCTCTTATTAAAGCTCGGGAATCTAAATCACGTTTATTATGCAGACTTCGCGCCTGTTCGTGCTGCTCAACAGACCCCGACATAAGCTACCTACCTTAGTTTATTACAGTCACCTGTGAACTATTAAACGCACGACATGACAATTATGTTCACAAGGCAAGCCTACCACACGAACGTCCGCCGGATAACTGCAGCAGGAACAGTATAATTTCCTTTTCTTGACGCACAGATCAAAACAGCCAACACAACATGGGGCTAGCGAGTCACATGCAGGTGAGCGAAATTCAGGGGTAACAAATATAAGGGAAAGATGCAAAATCTTCTGGCAAAGAAGATGATACCAATACCTTACCAGCGTTTTGGACTTTGCCAAAAAATCTAAAAACCTCAGCGTCTTCACAAAGTCCTTATCCTCATCCAACTCAATTCTCAATTTTTTTAAGCTCTCTTTGCCACTTGGAGGTTGATAGTCTTAGAACCTCTAACAACCGTTCTTCTATCGGATTTCATCACACTCGGATGAAAGCAAAACGAAAGTAGCCGAGTAAACCAAAAGCCTGGGGGGAATCCACGGGGAAAGTTGCTCAAGCTCGCTCATCCAACTTGACAGCCTTCACCATCAACAATTCCACTGCTAGATCGAGGCTTCCACATTTGCCGCGGTTTATTCTGATGTTGCTCGCTTGGTGTTTGAGGGGTCGAATCGTTTGAAGGATGCTGATGTGGTTTGGGCGGCACAGCTGAGTTGTGGGTGAAACTTTGTGCGGGTCCTTGACGGTTGTTTTTCATTCTCCGATGTTGATGCTGCATTTGGGAGGGTGAGTTTAATGCTCTCTGATTCCATGGTGTCATGTTAGGGCGACCTCCATTGTAATTTCCATTTCTGACTGGTGTCCTTGTTAAAAACTGTACTTCATGTGGCCTGACCAGCGCGGCAAGAACAGCGGGCTGATTCTGACTGTATGAAGTAAGCCTATGGTGGGTTACTTCAAACGCTTCTGAGATTCTCTTAAGTTGTCTGGCGCTAACAGCCCTTGCAGTATTCTCTGGCTGCTCAAAAGGATCCTCAATCTGACGTGCCATCAGAAGGGAGATCCATAATTAGTAGCAGCTGGAATTGAGAAAACAGATGCTATTAAGAGATAAGCTATGGAAAAGAAAGGTAGTTACAAATAGAGCATAGGTCTGGGGCATCCATCTCATGTTGTTCCTAATTTCTTCCCACTGTCCTGTATATGGGCAAATCCCAAACTCTGGTGCCTTCAGATTTAAGCCCAAAAACTGCAATGCCCATTTTAAAGAACACTTTGAGACTCAAGTATGTCCATAAATTAGCATCGCCGCCACCAAGCTTTTCTACTCTTGCATGCAAGCAAAATCACTCCTCAGTGGGAAAAATTAGCATCACCAAGATTCTAAAAGAAAAACACAGAGAAACTAAACATGATTGAAAAAGTTGAAAATCACTTACAGGAAAAAGTAAAAATCGCTCGCACAGAAAGCTTGAACTGCCTTAATTCGAGACTACGTAATGAATCAAATAATATGCGAGTGCGAGTGATTGCATACCATTGTTCACTCCAAATAAAGCCTCCTAGCAGTACTTTGACCAATCTCAAAGACAGTATCGAAGAAATTCAGAGGTTACCTTAGCAAGAAATGATATAAAAAGCTCCGACAATGAACTTCGGTTTGGCCTTGATATGCTTGATTTGAACCTGGCTATGTTAGCAGCACAGGTTTCTGCTATTCTCCTTTCTGCATCAGCCCTCACACCTGAGTCATGTTCATTAAATAGTATCTCAAGTCATTAATTGTCTGGCAAGTTGGTAAATTCATCCATCCTTTGTGATGGCCATAAAATTGATCTCAAAATGCGGAAGTCCATTAAAACTTTCATGCGACAAAAGGTTAGCCAAAGTATGATGCAAGAGAATAATCAAAACATTCCGCAAATTTTTATCATGATGATCGCTTAAGTCATGAGAACTTGTCGAGAAGTTTAAGGTTATGACTTTATCGCAGGTTCAACAGAATCTAAGGAAGCCATGAAAGTTCCACTATGGAACACTCACAACCCAATTAATTGACAACTAAACATAGCATTTGGAGTGTAAAGAATGTTTTCTTTCATTTTATAGTACACAATCAAGGTTTCAGGAGAGAACACCAAAATTACACACCCAAGGCATGCTGATTGATTCTGATGTACGAGGAAAACAGATGGCCAAACACACTAGTAAGAGCAATGAAAAGACATTAACTATGAAAACAAAAGTGATGCAACTAGACAGCAAAGGTGTAAATATACACAAACAATCTAAGAAAATCAAACTGGCTTTTTATCTAGAGTGAAGCCAAAATACCTTGGAGATCATCAACGGCACTACAAGGGTAGATGTCTCTCAAAGGAGGTAAAATCGCTGGGGCGCAAGTCTGTAACAAAATCAATTAATGACATACGTTGTTAACAACTTTCAAGTTGGAAAGTGTCTACACGCCATCACGGGTTATTACAATTAAAGGTCGCGTGTTGGCTTCCTATATTATAATCTGTCATAGGGCTATGTTAAAGAGCGTCCTAAGGGCAAAATTTGTGAAGCGCTGCTATGCATAAAGATTTTACTTTCGAGAATCGGGAATTGTGTAGTGGCATGCTTTGCACTTCACAACAAAATTAAATATCAAAGACCACCTGCGTGCTTTGGCGATCATTTTACACATCTTTAGAAATTATACGTGCAAAATCTACCCTCTTGCAGTTCTAAAGCATAATTACTGTAGTAAAAGCTCACCTGAAAATGAAAGATCACGAGCAAACAAAGAGCGAAAGAGTTGAAAGACCCAGTCTTTGGATTGTTTATATCATGACATTTAGCCCATTCCTTGACCTATGCAGGCAGAGAGAAAGAATAGATAAAACAATAAAAAGAAGATGCATATAAGCAAGTATTGTCTTTTACTTTTTTTAATTTGAACATACAAGCAAAATCATCTCTCGAAAGCGTCCATCAATCTCACTGATCCAGAACAAGAACTTTGACTTAATGTAGCCATGCAGATTATCAATTGAAATGTCGCAAGAGATGCTCGTGTATTTGCTCTCAATCTTCAATATGGGTACCCTAGCATGGGCAATGAATTGCAACCTGCGCCACCCACCTGCAAAAAATCACTGCCATTATGGCGAGAAACATGAATGTGGCGACAAAATAAGACCAGACTAAGTAGAAGGAGATGCATCCTCCGAAGAAGTACCACAGCCTAATGCCTTGGAGGCAACCTACTATACAGGTTTTTTCAAGAAAGAGATATTCCCAATGCTCAACAATCAGGGTTTTCACGAAACATCTGAGTAATTTAACAGGATTTAGCCAACATGCAACCTTGTTCAAGCCAAAACCTTTCCTCAGCTAGCCTTTCCAAAAGTAGTATGAGACATTTTTTTCAACAGGATTTAGACTGTATTTGCAACACATTTTTTTCTCTCGCTTCAGAAGCTGTTTGCAGATTTTGATATGGACACAGCAGTTATATTTAGAGGAAAACAAAACAGTAACACTCACCTGTCTGTCTCAAGGCTTTCAATAAGTCTCCTAATAGTGTCTGTTTAAGTTTCTTTCCAGCAGCCGAGATATATGAACCATTGGGTAACTGAACAGAGATATCCAGGTCCCCCTGTCTAGTGAAAAGATTAGACACAAATGACCCAAATGGTTCCACAGTTGCACCTGTTAAAATCACAAGATAAACTGCATGTCACCGAAGAATCTCTTGACATGTGTTATCTGATGAGGTATCGCTAGGATTATTCCTCTCCTAATTTTCTTTTAATGGTTCAGGGCCATTCACACAGCTGTTGTATGGTCCTCCAGCATGAAGATTGTACTGCTTACTTTAGAGACACTCAGCCAATATGGAAGGATATGACACACTAGACAAAAATATATAGCTGTGCTTCCTTCAAAGGCTTGTTAAGTGCTTGATTCCTTAAGACAAAAGCCAACCGCCTTTACAAGAACTATTTGTTGCTTTAGGACTAAAGTGTCGCAGCAGCGGAACCAAAGCAAGGCTACTGCACCTAATCCATAGTATCTGACGTAAACCCAGACAAGTTTAGAGAACAAAGATTCATTTCTTCTAAATATTTTCGTTAGAAATAAAAAGCACAGAAGCTGAAGAAAGTTTTTTGAATACAAATTCAAAAGAAAAGCAGCTTTTCATCGTTTCAGTTTCCAATTTGCAAGTCCATATCTCTAGTAGATTATCTGTTCTTCAGTGGCTTTCCACTTCCAGTACATACAAATATCCCGCATTAACCTAATTCCCTCGAGGAACAAGAAATCAAAATACCGTTCTATTTTGGTGTTAAATCTAAAGGCATGCAATGGGAACTAGGAAGAAAGGGTTGCCTTCCAGTAAAAATAGTTTCCCCACACACCTCATAAATCTTCAGGAGTATATTTGTTAGTGCAGCTATTTTATTACTCTTCTTTTCTTTTCTTTTCTTTTCTTTTTTTGTTTTGGGGGGGGGGGGGGGGGCTGTTAGGCGGTAGGGGTACGCAAAAGAAATCATTACCTCTCAAACTTTCCACAGATTCAATAACCTTTCGCAATTCATCTATGATATGAAATCGAGTCACCCAATCCTGTTGTTGCGGCTTTACAGCCATTAGGATGTCGTTGATAACAAAATCCAAAGTTCTGTATGCACCCATTTCACTGCTGTCACAATAAAAAGAGACCGCTTTCAACCGTGTGAAAAGATGTTGCTCAAAGACGACTTTTAGCAGCACTATGCAAGGAAACAACATGACGTACGCACAAAACCCACCAGGTAAGATGAACTCAATGGCAAGTCGGAAAGACCATTTTGGATTGCATATCACAATGAGATTTGCAAAGGTCCATTAAAACGACAACCATTTCCTGAAAATTATTCGACTTTCTTGTTAGACAAGATTAATCTGAATCTTAGGGTGGTCAAGTCAAACGAACTAGTTATGAGAAGTTCACTGCGATTGCAATATAGGTATACAGCCAGTTGCAAATGAGTCTGATGATCAACATTTGATCATGAAAGTCACGCGAATCTAAAGTTCAATCACAGGGCAACAAGTGTAAAAGCTCTAGTCGCAAAATTTGAAAGGAAAAGGACGAAAAAGAAGAACTACCGAGCATCAGCATCGAGTTGAGCAGATCACAGCCACCCAATAGACACCCATCAAACCATTGAAATTGCAAACGAAACTCGCGTCAAATGCCGACACCAGAAACAAGTTCAGCACTTCAGGACACACTATCAAGCAGCCAAGCGCCAGCGACCCATCTTTCAATTGGGCATCTAGACAAAACACCTTAACGGCAATCAAGCGAAGAAACCCATACGAAAGAAAGAACTCACACGTCAACTGCAGGAGATCAATCGCCTACCCAGAAGCCGATCGAAATCGACCCAAGTGCTCCCATTTGGTCTCGGTCTTGGAGGGAGTCAAGCCCCACCGAAAAGAATCTCGCCACCGACGGAACACGGCCAGTGTGAACGTGCGAATGTTAAAGGGCGAGCGAGGAGGGTTTACTTAGCGAGGAGGGTTGTTCATCATCGTACTACCTTTTCCTATTCTGAACCGAACCGTAAAGACAAGGTCTTTCCGACATTATCGATAATCTGGGACCTTCGCAGTACGCAACACATACGGCGGGAACTGTAGAATGTAAGACGATCGACGCTTAGGGAGAGAGGGAGCTCAAAAACAATGGAGTCTTGATGAAAAAGTTAGCGAGGGGCTTCTTCGGATTTGGGGGCTGGTTTGGCGATTTTGGGACACTGTGCCCTAATTGGAATTTTGACCTCTTGCAATTGAAATTTCTGATGAAAATAGAGATGATACTGTGGGATGGATGTTAAGCTAATTGCTATCGATCGCGTGATTTGTCGGGATGTCAAGTTTGATGCGAAAAAGTTCCTATCATTCTTGCTCTCTTTGATGTCCACTTAAGAGAGGTCGACTTTCATATGTGCATCGAGTGATTGTGGAGGTTGGATGTATAAAATAGTATGTAAATTGAAATGGAAGAAGTGCATTTTGATAGTTTTCTCGATCTCTTAACTTAGGTGTTGTGCAATTGAAGTTTTTGTGATTCGACACAAAAAAACAACAACATAGATAACTAGGAGAAGTGGGTATTTAGTAAACACTAGACATTCATGCCGAGAATTCGCAAATCCAACCATGAATGTAATAAAATTTTCTCAAGTTCACGCTCACCTTAAAATAGAAACTAGAGTTTTGATGATCCAAACTCTGATTGGTTGATTCCGCCATGAATGTCGGGTCTTCAGTTGCTCTCAATCCGAGTGTGATCGCGGATGTGAACCGAGTTCACCATGCATAACCTAAAAACTCCATCATCGCCCTTTCAAATTATGTTCTCTGCATGCACACGGAGTCACAACCCTAAATACATGGGACAAGGAGACGTCGTAGCGACGTTATAAAGACGGTGACTTTATGAAGCTAATCTCAAGACGGAAAGATTGTATTCGAGTTTTCCTTAATAGTCATTTTAAATTTCAAACTTCAAACGGGAAGAAACCGATCGACCGGAGTACTTAATCGAAGACCAACATCCAGTATAGACTCCACACCGCATCAAGGCATCCAATCGCATTAATGAACGGATCTTGTTCTAGTTCAACCTAGATAACTATACATTAATTGAAGAATCCCACTCTGTTAATTAATCGGATTTCGTTTCGTGATCTTTGCTATTCAATAAACCAGGACAAAAACAAAATCACACAAAAAGGAATACAAAAATTGAGTACCTCAGTTTCGTTTTAATCTCAATTCAGGCTTGGGCAAGTTCGGGTCGGACCTCCTGAGGTTGATGGGCCCAATGGGCCGGCCGAGCCCTCATTTGGGCCTAAAGAATCATGTCTAATGCCAGCCCATTAGTCGGGCCCGAATGGGCTTAGCTGGACCCAAACCCAATTAGTGGTTAAATTATCAAGCATCTTGACAAAATTACCATAAAACGAACGAGATTTTGCATGGTGAGAAAATAATACGTCTTTTGAGCTACAAGATCTCTATAAAATTAGTCAATCAGCTGGAAATTAAAGAAAAAAAACTAATGGAGGATGGGACAATTCCAATGTTCCATTTGCGAAAACATTAACGATTTTCCGATTTGGTAAATTTTTGCAAGATGTTGACAAGTCTCGATTACTGCTGGTAAAAAAAAAGGGGACTAGAAAAATGTTTATTTGGAAAACATGCTATTAAGTTATCAACTCTTATAAGAATTTACCGAGTTTATGTATTTGACTGAAAATGACCGATATTTTGGGTCAATTATCAGCTTTTATTTATGTGACTTGCCGACTTATCTAAACTTAGCAACTAGTATATGAAAGTACTCGTTTTAGTTCTTTACCAACTTTTCTCTAACTGAATTATCAATTAGTTTCGATTCGCTTACCAATTTTAATTAAGTTACCGAGCCTTATATAAATCACCAATATTAATCTGGTTGTTTGAAGATTACCGATGCTTACTTGATTGTCTGAAAATTACAAGTCTTATATGATTAGCTGATGTTTATTTGATTCATTTTCCAACATTATTAAGTAGCTCAAATAAGACGCTCATACAAGACATGGTAACTTTGACTAAATCAGATGAAAATTGGTGAGTCGCTTTACTTAAAGTTGCTGATCTAATAGAAGAATTTTTAAAGTTAAAGATGCTGATAAGTTGTGCTAATAAAAATTAGTGAATTATCAAAAAAGTTGGTAATTTACAAATAACCATATAAACGTCAGTAAGTAACTCGCAAGTTAACTCCATTAAAGTCAGTAAATCTGATATAAGAGTTTTTAAACTCAAAATATTGGTGAATTATGATGATAGAAGTTAATAAGTTTTTGGCAAAGTTGACAATGCTCAAACAACTGAATAAATGTCAGTAAATAACACAAAGAAAAGATAATAACCTCGTAATTTAAATTAGAGAAAAGCTTATGAGCCATTCAAACTAAGATCGGTAATTCAATGGAATGATCAGTAAATTCACGCAAAGACAAGTCAATACGATATTCGAAAATATGGTAATTTACAAACAAATTAATAAATATCAGTTAATATCTATAAAAAGTTAGTAACTCACTAATAAGCTACTGTCGATCACATTTATGTAATCGGCGATACTTGAAACTTACCTTTCCTTCCCAAAATTCATCAACAACATACCGATATTTCCATTGTTTCTTCGACACGGAATAATAGAATTTTGCCGGAGAATCGTGGGCACGCATTGAAAAGGACATGAAGAAATGCTAAATGAACTCTTGCATGCCAGAGCGACAATGGAATAAAGAGGATGGTAATTGTGATTATGTGTCTAGGCATGGTAGAGTAGCAAAGAATCAGATGCTGATTTTGATGAATTGGAAAATGGTCAAATGCTTATTCCAATTTGGTGCTTTGCTCACTCCATCATCTGTCCATTCACCAGTTAAATTTCAGGTGGAGGACGAAGCAGAAGAGGAGCCAACCCAATGTGATGAAATATGCAAAGATAGGATGCAACTTCACCAAAGGAATTTTCCTAATCTCAGTCTCAGTCCTCACCCAATGAAAGAGCACCTCATCATAGTTGTGGCCAAAATTACTCCACCGCTGCCTCCCAAATGTGTTACATCATGCCCTCTCACTTAGTTTCATTCTTATTCACATAGATAACTTTTCTATTTGGAATAGATGAAGCTCGTTTTTTATATATTAAAAAAAAAAGGGAAACGTATGCCGATGAAATGCGCACCGACATCTCGTGAAACAGGCGATACTCGAGCCGGAACTCAAAACGGATGGCAGGAAGAGGGGATTGTTTGCATTTCTCGTTGTGTGGCGTACTCTCAGTCCACTCGTGCACACCCGTTTTTAGATATGACTTAAACCACAATCCCGTGGGGTTGCTCAACAGACGACGCTAAATTTTTCCTTGCATGATGGCATTATGGTAACGGTGTTATAGTTCTCTACCTCACCCTCGCATGATCTTAATCAATGCCCCGGTATTTCAGAGGACATGAATTGATGTGGGAGGCATTTAGAATTGGAATCGTGGAGTTTGAATCTCTCTTCTTTGGATTGCCTCGCCTCTTCCAATTCCACATCTCTTCGTCCAACAGTACTTATTCCTTTGTATGGTCTCTCTCTCGATAGGGACGTTGTACTCGCCTCTTAGTGCAAAGGCATATTATTTAGTGGCTCCTATTCTCAAGAAACCACTTGAGGGAAACCAGAAAAGACATCTCGATTCATAACATGTGAAGGCCTCAACATAAAATAGACATACATCACACATACCCTTTGTGCATACGTACACAAACGTAGACCTACGTACGGCAACCTCATCCGATCAAATCAAACCGATTTGTCTTGATTTGTAACATTCAAGGCGAGGCAAACTTGGACAGTCTGTTAGAATTAGACGCACAAACACAACAAATTAGAGAGTAAATGCGAGAAAGAGAAATCGAGACACAATGTTTTATCTCGGTTCACCTTTAAATTAGGATATGTCCAGCACCTCTATGTTACATCTCTCTATTACAAAAGAAAGATATTATATAAATACTCAGTAGTTATTCATGAGCCTAAGCCCAAACTACTAATAAAATATATGCCTGTTTCGCCGGTTTTATCCCGTCGAAAATCTTTCACCGAACGCTGCGTTTCGGATTTTATTAGAAGAGACTAGGGTCTTGAATCAAGTTCGGACAGAGAATGTCAAATGCGTTTATTAAGCCCTAACTTATGTCTTACAACTTGACTCGATAATACACCAAACTCAACACTATTAACAATGGGATGACAACTTGCAAATGCCGAGACCAAGCTATGTCGAAATCTAATCAACGACACAACTAATATGCGACATTACCATTCAAGGTACGCCAGAATCTAATCAATGACATAACTTGAAAGAATATGGCTGGAATCTAATCAACAGCTATATTCCAAGCACAAAGCCGGAATTCAATCGACGACGCTGAACTGATAGCACAACATTGGAATTTAATCAACAATGCTGAACCTGATACAGACTCTCACCGGAATTGAATCTGCGACGCGGAATCTGAGAGTTGCAACTACGACTACTCCTAATGTGCTAAAAGTAAGGCTAGGTAAAAGATGTGTTGTGTTGTTCGCGAAGAGTCCCCTCTACGTTGGAAATCTTTGAGTATTTATAGAGCAGCCTGATAACTGTTGACCGGCCACTTCTCCTTGAAAGTCGTTTTCCACTTCCTTACGTTTCACGCTTTAACCGCTTCCTGACTTATCGATGTTGCTTATGCTTCTTGAGCATCACGTAATAGCTGATTTCCATGTGTCTCTTTATTCCTTGCTATTTCCCAAGTTTCATCCTTCAACTTCCTTGATCTTCACGTCCACGGTCATGTCTTTACCTTTTGACACGTGGAAATGAATTTCTTTACCACGTGTCACCATGTATTTAATTCATGATTTCAGACTTATCGACGTCACGTGCAAAGCTCGTGATCTTGGACTTGTCGACGTCAAGTGCAAAGCCCGTGATCTTGGACTTGTCAACGTCACGTGCAAAGCTCGTGATCTTGGATTTGTTGACACTTTTATGACCTGTCTTGTCGATAACTACCTCAAATCTTCCCAATGCCTCTGGGCCTGACTCACAGCCTTTCTCCGGATTCATACCATGTGGGCCGTATTTTATGTCCTTTGTGACTTGTAACCGGTCCACTCCCATCAGGGATAATTTTGAGTGTCAACAATGCCCAAACTATAAAAGCCCTCTGGCGTTGCGGAGGCGCTGCCCTTTATGACCTTTGCCAGGCGGGCCCCCCGGATCTCTGCCCCGCTCATCAGAGAGCAGGACCCCCCATACCTTCCGGTCGATGGGGAATATAAACCACACTCCAACACAATTGGTCCTCCTTTTAAATGGACCCCATTATCTCGGCTAAGGATTTCTCCAATCAAATTATTAGTACGCGTCAATGATTACAGTAAGCTTTTCTTTTACTCTCGTGTTAATATTGAGCTAGGCAAATAGGACCCAGAAATCTTAAAATTAGGAGGGAACATTATGAATCCATGTGATTCGTTTGGGACATCTAGCAAACAAATTTTCCCCCTCGGACGAATATCAAAAGGCAATGACGATCAACTTACGGGCAAGATTACGTGGAGAGGCATCAATTGAATGACAAGCAAGGGGATCTAGGCAACAAAACGTGATGGCACAGTGGGAAATAGGGGGGGGCGGGGTCCTATCAGGCCAGCCAGCCAGGCTGCCCCCCACCAACGACGGGCACGTGGCATGGGCACTCCTCGGATCAATCGATGGCCAAGCAAAAGAGGAGGCAAACCACCGCAGATATTTTCTCGTTCGCTACTGAATCATTACATGACACGATCGAAGGTTTGGTCGTGTCAAATCAAACTGCAATGCTTTGCCTATTACCACCCGCCATTGATTGCCCTCGAATTGCCAGCTAAAGTAAACATCCCTCCTCGAAGGGCATCCAAAACCTTCCCGACACGTAACTTTGACAATGGCGTGAGCGTGCTGCCGGTGCTGGGGTCGGCCCAAAGGCGCGAAGATAGAAGCAAAATCCCCAACACCCACGCCACCTATCCCCATCGTATCTCGAACCAAATCTCACGGCAAAAGCACCCCGACGGCTGCGAATCCGCCTCCGACCAAAGGTGCGGAGAATTTGTATCCGGCGGAAGAAATTCCCGTATTTATTCGAAATATGTTGGCTCGCTCCATCTCAATCACTAAATGACTTATGCCCTCAAACGATATCCACACGATTGGATGGTTAGGGTTTGCAAGCACGCAATATCTTACTTAGTTTGAGTTCACAGGCATGCTATATCTTACTTAATTTGAGACTATTCCATCCATGATAAGTGCCGTAATAACACACTCTTTCTCGAAAAGCAAAAGAAGGACACAAAATCTGTCGATCTTAAAAATCTGTTAAATTTGCGGTCACGCGATATTCCGAAATCCCTCACCGTTATCTTTCTACACTTTTTGTGATTGACGGAAAAAAAAAGAAAGAAAAGAAATGGAATTCTCTCTTCTAGGATGCAAAAGCCAACATAGGAGAGGTAAAAAAAGGAGCCTTAAGGATAGGATTTGAACGGTTTCCAATCGCGCGCATCACGAGCAAACGAAGACGAGAGAAGAAAGGGACCCCCTCCCTCTCTTTTTCATAAAAGAGGTTCGTAGCTGGCGATTGTCCCCTCCCACGGTGGACCATCTAAACAGGTCTTCTGCAGGTAGATTTAATTACGCAAATCTAAATATCCAAAAATACTAATTTAATCATCAACATTCCAATCGTATTAATTTAATCTATCATAAATTTTTTAATTGTGTCAATTTAATTTTTTCCATTCTTGATTCAAAAGGATAAGAAAAAGGATAAGAGAAATCCTCGCCCCCAATCCCAAATCGCAGATTCCCTCCTCGACCCATCATCGTCCCAGAGCTCGAAGAAGGGGGGGGCGCAGGCAATCTTTCGCCCTCGACACGTTGCAATCCACCCATCATACATCAGAAAATCAAGCCACGCGATTTAAATTTAAACTTTAATTAAGGATTTCACTCGGGTAAATTGCCATTTTGTCATTCGCCTGATGTGAAAAACAATTACAATCCTACTTTTAAGAGCTTTAGTTACAGTTCGGAAGAACTTGAAATCTCTCTCCTCCTCCTCTTTAGAGAGCCTCCGCCATTTTCTTCGGGTCACTCCACGGTCCATCTACAAGCTGTAGTAAAATATCAATACGGGGCTAATTATTAAAGCAAAATGGGCAAAGGAGCGGCGCTCGACTATTGTTGTCGTCGGTCTCTCTTCAGATCGACCACCACGACGCTCACGTTGTCCGTGCTGTGCCTCGCCAGCGCCAACTTCGTCAGCAGTATCGAGGCGTCGGAGCAGGCCTTGTCCGAGCTCTCCGCGTTGGCGCCCACCGCCAGGTCGGAGATGGGCGACCGCGGCGGGGAGGGCGGCCTCTGCGCCCGCAGGCACATCCGGGCCACCCCGCAGGCCGTGTCGTTGGAGACCACGTCCCAGAGCCCGTCGCTGGCCAGGATCAGGCACTCGTCCTCGGTCGTCCGGTCCATTATCGTCACCTCTGGGTCGGGTACGACGTACGGTTTCAAGTAGTTGTCACCTGGCAGAGAGAGGAAAAGAGGACAAAAAAAAAAAATCCGACCCACACGTCAGCGACGCTACGTGGAGAATATACACGTGGCGATCGATTACAGGTTGGGCAGCGGCGAGGGAATACTCACCGATGGCCCGCGACATGGCAAGGACTCCGAGGACGCGCGCGCCGTCCCAGTAGATCACCCGGCCGCCGGCGTTTTGGATCCGCTCCAGCTCGTCCGGTCGATCCGGCTGCCATACGTTGAAAGGAAAAGGAGGTTAGTAATGCGTGTGGAATTCACGCGCCGCCAGCGCGGCGTGAACCGCGAAGATGCTTGCGGTGCCGGTGACTGACCTTGTGATCGGACGAGAGGGGTATGGCGACGCCGTTGCGGCAGAGGACGGCGCGCGAATCGCCGCAGTTGGAGACGATGATCTTGTCCGGCGTGACGATCGCAACGACGGCCGTCGATCCGACGGCGTCGCACTGCGGAGTCTGGAGCTCGCACCGGCAGTTCGAGGTCTTGGCCACGTCGCTCCACTCCTGCACCTCGCTGTCCATCCTGGCGAAGCTTCGCTCCATCGCCTCTTTCCACTGCACCGAGGACTCCTTGTTGTAGTTTCCGATCTCCTCCCTCACTATCTCGTGCAGCCTCTTCTTACACTTGATAGCAACCTGTAAAAACCAAACGAACCCTAGAATTAGCGCCGTATTCGCAGTAAAGCCTTCGCCAGGTTTTGGATATGTGTTCTTAAAAAGTTCCAGAGGCAATTACATGAGAGCAACCGTGGCCGTCGAAGACGCCGAAAAGGTGCAAACCCTTAGGTTTCTGCGGACTTTCGCTGCATAACGAAGGTTCGACGGAAACGGCGTCTTCCATGTCCCTTCTCCGGCCACAGACCGAAGTCAACCCGAACTTCGGGCACTCCCGCGGCTCGACTTGCAGGTTCTCCCTCGAATTCGACGACCCGTCCGCCCTCGCGACCTTGATCTCGCTCGCGCCTTTCCCTTTCTCCTCTTCCACCCTGGCCTTCCGCGGCTCGCGGGCCTCCACTTCCTCGTCGAGCAACACCTCGATCCTCGGCCTCTTGCGGCCGCTCTCCAAGGAAGGCGGCGGCACGGCCACGTCGGCGACGAACTTGAACGGTCGAGGCTCCAGGATCCGCAGCCTCGAGCCCCGGGAGCTGGGCTCCACGGGAGCCGACGGCTCGCTCTCCCCGACCACGCCGCAGCAAATCCCAGCCATTACAAGAATTATATATCTCAACTCCCGATCGACTGAACAAACCAAACCGACCCACCTCAAGTTCCGACCACAGCTTCGATCGAGTTCTAGCTTCGCTAGCTCCTGAAGGCGGAACGAAACCCTAGAGGATGAATAGAGAGAAGCAACAGAAGCAGCAAGCGAAGGGGACAGAGAGAGAGATACGGAGAGATCTGTTTTCAGGGAAATGGAGGACCCATTAACGATGGAGGCTTGGGCGCGGCGACGGACCATTTTTGTAAAGGGAAGGAGAGAGAGAGAGAGAGAGTGTGTGGGGCCCGACGAAGGGCCTCTTCTGCCCTACCATTTTTCTTTTTTTCTTTTATCCTTTTTCTTTTCTTCTCCACCTGGGGGCCACAGGCCGGGGGGTGGGGGTGGTGACAGACGGGCAGAGGGGCTGCCCGGAACACCGGCCCGGGCAGGGGACCCGACACCTACAGTTGGCGTGACGTCGAACCACTTGACGCGAGATGGGCCGATCCCCGCCGTCCATTTGCGCATCTCCCGACCCCGGGAGGCCACAACGTGTATGATTAGCTTTTTCGTACGGATTGACGTGGCCCAATGAGCACTCGACAACAACCGGGGCGTCCTTACTTTACTGACACGCATGTGGTCCTATCCCCCCCCCCCCCTCGCTCTCTCTCTCTCTCCTCGTTTAGTCGCCTTTTCGGAGTCCTTCCTCGTTTGATTTCTCTCTCTCCCTCTGTCTTCTCCTCGACACCGTATGATGTTTTTTGTCGATTTTTTTTTATATTTCAATAGAAAAAACAGGGGGAAAAGCTGGTGGTGTTTGTGGTGGGATATGACCACGTGGCGAGATCGTAGGATACGAGATTCGGGTGAGGCCATTCTCGCAGACGAATCGTCAGCGAGGGTTCACGTTCACGGTACCTACTCTCTATGGCAGGAGGATGTTGCCTACCATTTCCCCAGAATTTTCTGATGCCCTCTTTGAACTACTTCGTTCCACGTAACGAAAAATTGAGACCATTCGTGTCCTCGCGCCATGCGAGGATCGATTGATTTGAATCCAAAGAAAAACTTTGAATTATTTTTGTCATTTTTATCTGTAACTCTACTTACTCTCTTGAATTTTTGTTATACCTCTTACAAAGTGCAGAAATCGAACCTCGCACTTACGATACTAGCATCCCCCTAATTTATTTACCAGCAGGGCCGCATGCCTATTGGCTGAATTATTCGTCACGTGCCCTTCTAAACGAAGGAAAAAAAGAGATATATTATGGATGATATATAGATCAAGATCATGTGAGGATGTCTTTTGTTGGGTATCTTATGGTATCGTAACGGTTCGAGAACGAGCGTTAAATGTATGTGTCGATATCTGATTGATGATGATTGTATGCGATAGATTCAATCAGTGTCGAAAATACGGAAAATGGCTAATTTTTCACGCTATAAGTGTAATTTACCGTCACAATGCTCTGGTGGAGGGAAACATAAATTCAAGCATCAATTTTATATGTTTGGTTTTAATTGATTAACCTTAATTTTCTCCCCGAAAAAATGTTCTCCCGCATCGATCAGGAAGGTTTTGATTAGATACCGATGACTCCCCCACGTGCCTCCCCTCCATTCGTCGGGACGGGAGACCCGGCGCGTGAGACGAAGACGCGGGGGGGGAGTGGGCGGTCGTTGTCGTTCCACCAGTTGTGTTGTAGGGGGGGGGGGGGGGCGAAAGGCGTCTACGTGTGATGGGGACGCGGGACACGTGTGGGACCAGACGTCGAATTCGGTTTGACGCTTCACGGAATATCTGAGGTTCCCCCCGACACGTGTCGATCAACTGACGTGGAGGTGATGGTGCAAAAGAGACTCGCGAACGGACAAACGCCTCGGGCCTCCCGCCCCGACACGTTTCAAGCACACTGCCTTGCCCCCTCCCCTCGGTCTCCGGATTTATGAATTGTTAAACTCTGCCGTCCTTCTTTGCAATTTCCCATATTTATATTCCGCCCCCACCCCCCGCTCACGCTCCGAAATGAGCTCGCTTTGCTTGACTTTTGACCCTTCGTATTTCTCTCCTCGCTACCTAATATACACTCCTTCGATGGCGAGCTAGGGTTTCGCTTTCGGGATTCGAATTTAATACTTCGTATGGAGCACAATTACTACAGATCGCGATAACATCGCATGGGGAATACCGAAAAATGGGGTTTCGGCTTTTCGCAATGGAATGGAGATTATTCATCTAACTCGATTATTACAAGGGGAAGAAAGTTTGATTCCTCTTTTAGCCACGCGAACTCGATATGCAGGGCTACAAATCTTGTCAAAGCCTACCACGCACGAGGGAGGAAACTTCGAAAATTGGACACGAAACTTTGGCATCCTATGCCACGTTAAAAATTGCGTGCACGTTCGTCTCCTCTAAAAGCTGACATCATAAAAATCTGTGGTCCATGCTTCAAATGATGGGTCGGAATCCAACGAATTCCAATGCTTCAAATCACGACGTTCCGAATTTTGGGGGACATGCCGCCATTGTACTAGCGGCAGCGCTATTTAATGTGTATTGGCAGAACGATTAAAAACCAAGTCAGGGGTCGATCGACACCGAAGCAAACCATTTGCGGTGGTCGGCCGTGCCCGCGAAGCGCTGACATTCGCCGGAGCTGCCGCGATGCCGGGCACCCGCAAGGGAATCGCCACGCGCGCCCGCCCGCCCGCCTGCCAGCCTGTCGGCGTCGCTGATATGACCCCGCCGACCCCACGCGACTCGGCCAGCCTAACTCCCCGGAGGGAGACGGCGGTCAGCCCGGTGACGTCACCGGCGATCCCCTCGACGACTTCCCGGACGAAAAAGGAGAAAAGGAAGGGAGTTAAAAAAAACCGGAGGCGCAGTATTTTTATAAAACCGCCCCTCGTTTCCCGTTCGACGGAAAATCCCGCCCAGGATTGGGTGACTCAGGTGCCCCGAGACGCCGACACGTGGGCATCAGGATGGGGACCGTCCGACACGTCACCCGTCGGTCCATCCCACGAAGCGGTTTCCGCAGGACCGCCAATGGAGACAGCCACATGTTTATTGCTCGGGGAAATATATAAAAAAAATTGTGGAGGAGAGAGATTTTTGTTTTCCCCTTCCTCTTTTTTTCGATTTTTTTATTTATTTTTTATGTTGAGTAATTACGATGGGGGACATTGAATGATGTTTACGCGAGTGTGCAATGCATCTAGAGGGTTTAGGTTGGTGTCGCCTCCCTATGTTGAATCTCAGATATTTTTTCATGTCAACTTAATATTTTTTTCCTTTTCTGAAAGATGTTTCGCTTATGACTTTCGATCGAGAAGCAAGGGGACGAGAAAGAAAATCTCTTATTTTTCGGTACTTGAATCGTTTAGCAAAATAAGTTAACGGAATATACTTTTCAAGTCGACCGAATATTTATACTTAAATTCAGAAAATTGATTTCCTTTTTTAAAAATCGAAAATCATTTTTCAAGATATGACTAGATGTCGACGTTTGTTCCGTAAACCTTACATTTGAGCACAAGAATCCCAACACTTGTTCATGGGCGCCCTTAACAGCGGCACTGGGCAAGGGCCGGGTTCACTGGGGTCCATTGTGGCCAAGCCAGAATCTAAACTGGTCGAACCCCGAGTCCACTGAGGTTGGGTCGAGACACCGGCGCCCGTGACCTACTTAGAACTCCACCGTTGCCCAACTCCTCAACGTCTCGGCTTGGGTCCACAAAGGCTAACCTTAAGACCCTGGTGCTCGTGCCCAGATCTCTAACATCTAGGCCAGGGTTGGCCTGGCTTAGGTCCACATCACTCGGGCCGAAGACCTTGTGCCAAAGATCGGGTCCGTCAAGGCTGGGACCATGACCCTAAAGCTAGTGCTCGCGTCCTCGACGCCAGGGCCTATGTCCATCGAGGTCGCACCCATACCCATCAAGGGCGGGTTTTTGAACTTGGCACCTGAGCCCACATCCCCGATGCTCGTACCCTTATCCATAGAGGCGAGGCCCACGACATTGGTGCCATGCCTTGGACACTAGCACCCGAGCCCAGGACGACGTCCCCACCCCAGGTCCCCCATGTACCTGCCTTGGTCTCAAGTCCATCGAGGCTGGGTCTAAGATGCTAGCACCCTCTCAGGTCAATCAAGGCTAGGCTCGAGACCCGAGCACCTGCGCCTAGGTTCAATGAGGCCGGACCCGTGTCCATCAAGGTCAGGTCCAAGACCTCTCAGTGCCTAAGCCTGGGTTGCTAACACTTGCACTCAAGTCCATCGAGGCTGAGATCGAGACCTCGGAGCCTATGTCCTGGTCCCCAATGCTCGGCTCGGGGTCCATCGAGGCTAGACCCCTGGACCTTGGTACCCGTACCCAATTCCCTAGTTGTCTATTCGCTCGAGCATGACACCTAGTTTGCATTACGAACATTCTATCAATGCACAGACGCGGAATTTAATCACAATTAGTATTGCATGCACGGTTTCTGTAACTTTTTTATACGCATCCTCTTTCATCCCCCATTGACATTAATATGAACAGTTAGTCACTTGCTAGAAAATAGAAGTAGAACTATATCTATCAACGGTTCGATGTAGAATGTAAAAATTAAAGATTCCACTGTCTGTGTATTCAACGTGTATCCATTTAATCATTTCAGCATACCTCTTATGTATTTTAACATTTTTCATCTTACAAAATCTTTAAAAAAAAGGGGGGTCCAAACCATGAAACGTTTTTCTATTATATGCTAATTTTTCGGTTCAATAATTTTTTTTTATCAACTGATAATTCGAATATTTTGTAATAAGGTGGTTTTGCGAAATCAATTAGATATGAATCTTTTGCATTTTTTACTATTATAGGTCTCTCGATATTTTCTCCCTGAGAAGAAGAGAAAAATCAACAAAAAGGATAAGAACAATACAATTGGGGTCGAAAAAAAAAATGGTATTTACGTGCAGTCTTTTATGTCGTAGCTGGCTGGGTTGGGCAGTATTCCGGCTACGGTGCAGTGTATTTACGATTTGGAGGGCGTCGTCCTCTGGAGATATTTTTCCCAATTTGGATAATTTGCTGAAAATGCTATAAATTATATGCTGATTTTGATTTTTACCCCCACATAATCATAATTTAGAGAGTGTTTTGGTCTCGTTATAAGCCGATCAAGCAGCTCCTTTGGATTTTCAGCCAAAATGAAAAACACTGCTTTAATTAGAAAAAAAAAATCTAGAAAGTAATTTAAAACAAATTCAGATGTTACCCCTATATGTCTTTTTTTATTTTAAAATTTAAACATTAAATAAAAGTTGGATCTAAACCCTTACCAAACACAAGCAGGCAAACACCTACTTAGCTGACCAAACTTTGAAATTCTTCCCCTAAATCCCCGGTCAGATCAGTCTACCGCTTTCGATGTTCATTAATTCATAGTAAAACCACGATCCTAAATTCGGCTGACACATAATTCCAGGCCTAATTGGACAGATTCTTACGCACATTCAGCTGGTTCGGTAAGCTTGTTTAGTGAAAAATGGATGATTCGAAAAATATTTTTCTAAAAATGATAACTTATATCGTTTACAAAAAAAATGAATAAAAAATATTTTCATCGTTCACGAAAAAATTTAGATTTAAATTATTGTCATCGACTAATTAGAAAAACATGTTTTAAATCATTTATTTTCCGCCAAACAAACGAGCTTTAAGTTGAATAAGTTCGTGAAAGACTTATCCGATGTCGCAAATTGTTCCTTTTTCTGTTCTTTTTTTTTTTTGGAGGGGACGATAATGCGCAGGGCTGGCATGGTGTCTTAGGGTGCGAATGGTAACCATTCTGCTCCAGAAATCAAATTCTTGCTAGAAATTGATTTATGGAGGAGAAATCTGTTTGGTAAAACATAACTAATTCTGATCCAGAAATTGATTTCTGAAAGAGAAATCTGTTTGGTAAAACATGAGGAAATTTTTGCTTATGGATGAGAAATACATTTGATAACGGCGTGTCAATTCTATTTCCGTAACAAAGATAGTCCGAACTCAATTTTTGAAAAAAAAATTCAAAAAATCAAAAAATAAAAGATTTCAAAACTTCACAGAATGACTAGAATACTTGTGGCCACACACTTTGAGTGAAATTTTAATTTTTTTATGTACCCAAAAAAATAAAAAAATAAAAAACTTACCAGAATGGCTTAGAATAGCTGTGGCCACCCACTTTTAGCGAAATTTAAATTTTTTTAGGTGCCCAAAAAATTCAAAAAAAATCAAAAAATCAAAAATTTCAAAACTTCACAGAATGGCTTAGAATACCTGTGGCCACACACTTTGAGTGAAATTTAAATATTTTTAGGTGCCCAAAAAAAATAAAAAAATAAAAAATTTCAAAACTGATCATAATGGCTTAGAATAGCTGTGGCCACCCACTTTGAGTGAAATTTTAATTTTTTTAGGTGCCAAAAAAAAATAAAAAAACAAAAAATTTCAAAACTGATTATAATGGCTTAGAATAGCTGTGGCCACCCACTTTGAGTGAAATTTTAATTTTTTAGGTGCCCAAAAAAATAAAAATTTGAAAAATTTCAAAACTTCACAAAATTGCTTAGAATATCTGTGGCCACCCAATTTGAGTGAAATTTAATTTGTAATAGGTGCCCAAAACAATCAAAAAATAAAAAATTCAAAACTTCACAAAATGGCTTAAAATACCTGTGGCCGCCCACTTTGAGTGAAATTTAATTTTTTTAGGTGCCCAAAAAAATAAAAAATTCAAAAATTTTAAACTTCACAAAATGGCTTAGAATACCTATGGCCACCCACTTTGAGTAAAAATTTAAATTTTTGGAGGTGCCCACAGGTATTCTAAGCCATTCTGTGTAATTTTGAAATTTTTAATTTTTTGTGGGCACCTAAAAAAATTTAAATTTCACTCAAACTGGGTGGCCACATGTATTCTAAGCCATTCTGTGAAATTTTGAAATTTTTGATTTTTTGAATTTTTTTTTACACCTAAAAAAATTGAAATTTCACTCAAACTGGGTGGCCACAGGTATTCTAAGCCAAAAATGCATTCGATAACAGCGCGCCAATTCTATTTCCGCAACAAAGATAGTCCGAGCTCAATTGCAAAATGTTATTTATCTTAACCTACAATGCATGATATTCGAGGCAAAATCTAGTACATTTTTTTAAATCCTCAAATAGAAAGAACAGAAATTCCAAAATAACATGTCATTACAAGAAGACCTGGTACTAAATCCTCAATTACACATAATACGAATCCTACAATACAACATTATATTACAAAAGGCAAAAAAAGCAAATAATCCTCGAATAATAATAATGGAAGTACAATACAATAGTGGAAAACCGAATTTCATGGAATCTCCGGCATATGATTATCCCTAGCCATTTTATTGGCAATACGTTTCCTGATAATGTTCATCTCGTTTCCCTCTTCGGTCGTCACTATATCATCTGTACCCTGTTCAGTAGCTTCACACACATAATCTGGATCTCCATATATGGACAAATGCTTATCCATCCTGTCTTGCTCAATGATGTAGTTATGAATCGCACAGCATGCAATTACAATCTGTGTTTGTTTTTCAAATTTAAATGGAGGCATATGTCTCAAAACAAAAAAAACAATTCTTCAAAGCCGCAAAGGATCTCTCAATGATATTCCTTAATGACGAATGCCTGCGGTTGAACAATTCTTTTGCTGTTGTTGGTCCCCCACTTCGTCAAAATTCTGGTATATGATACCGTTTGCCTTTAAATGGTGTTAAAAATCCTGGACTTGAAGCATAACCAGAATCGACGGCGTAGTATTTGCCTGCAACAAAGTATCATGGATTGATCATAAAATGCAATCCAAGCAAACTCATAAACACAAATACTCGTTATATATCAAAGTAGCACCTGCGGGTGGTCGAGGAAACTGTAGGTGATGTGTGTCAAGTGCGGCCGATAACACCCGGCAATCGTTCGCTGATCCTTCCCAACCAGCATACACAAAAGTAAATCACATATCAAAGGAACACACGCACAGCACGTTCTGAGTAGTTGTGCCTTTTCTACCTCTAAATCGTGTTTGCATACGTTCAGGTACGGTAGCATGAATATGGGTGCCATTCATAGCGCCTATGCACCCCTGTCATTTAATTAAATACATACATTAGACAAGATTATGAGCAAAACTAACCAAATGGTGCAAGGAAATGTACGAAAAACGTACATTGAAGTAACGATTAAACTTTGGCTCAATCCGAATTTCTTCTGGGACAACATCAAACGAAGGAGGTACGGTAATCTCCTTCGCCAATTCCAAAACAGCTTTCAACACCGCACCAAAGTACTTGCTGACAGTCTCTCCTGAACGTTGGAATCTCTCACATACAGCTCTGTTGGAGTTCTTGTGACAAATCATTAATAAAAACATGGCAACCTGTTCATCTACCCTAACATATCGACTGTCTGCCAACCAACCTCTTGACTTGAGCAAACCATAAAGGTTAAGAAAAACATGTCTCTCCATTCTAAATGCTTCGTATACTCTATCCGAATGTCCATGAAGAAGCTCGCTAACCCATTCGGGTCCTGTCAATACACTATTCCTAATACGTTCTGTCCTGTGCATGGACCTACGCAACCAAGCAGTAGACAACCATACCAACAATATATTCAACTCATCCTCATCAAAGTCTTGTTCACCTGATATAATTGTTTCACTTGATGCTACTTGATCATTAGACCAGCTACTTTGATCCACTTCCATATTACCTAGGCCATCATGCGAAAGAAGAAGATAAACTCAACATGTCAGTTGGGAAGCTAATACATTTGAACTGATATGTTGGGAATTTAATACCACTCGACAGATAATTATGGAATTCAATCACATTAAAGCAAAGTTTCAACATCATCACAAATGCATACGAATAAAGACAAGTCAATGTCTGAAATACATAAGTGAAAAGCCGAAATGAACTCAAACATAAAACGGCATATTATAGCCCAACAACTACTCAACAGCCCAACTACTCATCCATAGACTCAATAAAGGCAACTCTCATTTCGGGAAGACATGTCAGGAAGCCCTCTCTCCAAGAGGCATTACTGACAGCACGATTCATAGCTTTGATGTAAAGAACCTTGTCCAAGTCATGTATGGCATTTAGGACGGCAGCCACAGCTGCTACAGAGTAAGGGTCCACAGGTGTTGAGGACTGTGAGGTAACGGAGGCACTTGATGTTTGAACCGTCTTAGCTTTGATCATCTCTTGAATGGCTTTGCAGGTCGCGTCAAATGAATGTGAACTGCTCTTTCTCCTTCTCTTGGCATTTGGAGTCCTATCCAACCTGTGGCTTTTTGGAGGTGGGCTCGCCGGCACGTTAAATTGTTCCACATTAGCTTGAGTTTCGAAAAACTATTCTGATTCGCTTAGGTCAACATGAACATCATTGTCACCACCACCACCACCACTATCGCCTGTACCCTCCGACGGCGCCACGCCTTGCGCATTTCCTATTGCAAACTCCCCAGTGGCGTATGTATCCCCAAACACAACACAAAGCTGTGAATACAAAGGAAATTCGTCTTTCCTGAACTTGGCCCATTCAGTATTAGCCTGCGCCATTTTCAAAATAATATCAGGCAGTACTCAACCTTTTATAAATCTTACATTTGAGGTTTCAGCAATAAGAGGACCTAAGTAAGTAACATCACCTTGATGTGATTTGCCCAGACAGTTTCATCGTCCACGACAACCCTCTTGCTCTCATCGTCCCATCCAAATCCTGTTGTCGAAAGCAGCTTCTTGAAACTACCATATTGTCTCTTCAGTTTCCGTGCCTTGTTCTTGAACTGTGGTAGACTAAAGCGAAGTCCTGTTTGTTTATTAAATTCTCCCTCAATGTTAATCCACCCTACTCTGTTGTAGGTACATGATGTGCGATTTCCCTTTTTTACCTCATTCACCATCAGACTTACAAACAATTCGATCAACGACTCAATCCACTTTGCCATGTACATGTCTTTGGAGGATTCCATTTATGTAAAATCGATGAAATTTCAGGGGCAAATGCTGGTAATGGCGATTCAACAAACAAACAATAATTAAACAGAGGAGCACATCTACAAAAGACAACATAAATTGTACCTGAGCAAAGAATTTCACACCCTAAAGTAGCCTTGTTAGAGCAGGAAGAGTCTTAATCCACGGGTTCTTCCTCAATTGCGTTGATGGGACTTAGTATGTGAATGTAAGTAAAACTGCTATTGCAAATGGTCCAGAGCTCCAGAAATAGCCATTACCTTGAGAGATGCGGGAATAGTCAGTATAAATGAACTAAGGCACATATCAAAGCAAGAGCACAACAAATCTTGAGGGCTAACAGGAGAAGAAACTTGATACTTAAACAGCCTATTATGAGCTGCCGTACAATCTCTAGTATCTAAGCTCGTGTGCATAAGAATGTCAGAAACATATTATAAGCAAAGATAAGAAAGTGCCTCAAGGAACAATTTTTGACTCTACAAAACCATAAATAAGCAATGACTGAATGAATGGAGCAGTTAAACTGTGATAAGAACCAAAATCTTCTTGTGGTGTGATCGCTATTTTAACTATTCTCAGTGCAGCAAAGAGATCAGAATTCCAATGTATTAAATCCAAAAGGCAATGCATGGAGCGGCGAGGCACTTGGACTTTCAAATTCAAATTCTGCTTGGAACAAGTGTGGCTCAGATATAGACTAGGGAAAAGTAGAATACCACGAAAGACACTTGTTAAGATCTGTTGTAACATAGGACATGAAATAATATCATGTAAATTCAAAGAATTTAACATATGAATAGCTGATGCTCAGGTAAAGATATAGAAGGGACGAACTATGCCTCTTTCAAGACATAAATTACATGAAAAGTACACATGTAAATAGACCGGGGATCAATTTTGTAAGGGACTAAGCTGGTAGACAAATACCACAGAATCAGACAAGCAAGGAAGCAGAGGAAGGCAGCTTCTTAGAAGAGTGTAGTCCCTGGCAAGAATGTATCGCTCCTAAGAAGTCAGTTCCATTAGATAAACCAATAAGCTGTAGCATCATTGACTAGATTTCTGTTCTTCCATTTATTAAATCAGAAGAGCTGGAACAAGACAGATGAATCACCCTTAGTCAATCAAAAAACAATAAAAAGGAAATTCTTTTGTATTGTCGTAGTAAATAATGCAAACAGATACATAAAATTTCAATTAAAAAGAAGAATCAAACATAAAAAGCAACTCAGAGTGATCTCTTCATAATAGAGCCACATTGCTCTTAGATAGTCACCCATAAAAGAGACAGTGACACTATAATGAATCCCCATCCCAAAAGTGAGATGACTCGGACCAGAACATCTAAATGAGTTAACCTAAAAAGACTAAACTTAGTCTACTGGCCACAAAGAAAAAGAACAGAATAATGCTTTCCCCATTGCCATAACAAGCAATCTATAATAGACAGACGATACATAATCAAAACGAATTAATTTAACCAATCCATAGAAGAACTTCCCTAAGAATGACCGAAATGTGAAGAAATGCTAAAGCAACGGAGATGATTGTGAGACCCAGGCCTAAGATCGAGAGTTTTCAACATGGGGATCTTAATTCTAGCCTCAAGAGCATAAGGTCAACCAGACCCAACACTAGAAATTCTCATTCCCAGAGAGAGAGACAGCTTCATACGAATTACCTTTTGCATAAGACCGAAGAGTAGCCAGAGTCGGAGATGGACATGATTCTGAGCTTCTGTTGTTCTTTCTGCTTTGTGTTCGTGTTAAGGCGGAGTGATACTTGGGTGGGAAGATCCGCTGCGAGTCAAAGGAGAGCGCTACGTTAGGAATGGAGAGTTCTCGCCAGACCGCTCCGCGGCATCTCGTTCCTTCGATTCCGACTCGATCGAGCGAGATTCGCGCGGGCCGCGTGCCCTAAAAAAAAGAATGCATTCCGGAACTAAAAAAAGAATGTGTTTTTACCAAACGAATTTTTTGTCCAGAATGCAAAAATTATTCCAGAATGTATTCCGGAAATTTTTTAACAAACGTCATTTTGTTCCGGAATGCATTCCGGAGCAGAAATTTTGCTCCGGAATGCATTCCATGCGCACCCTTAGGATCTCAGCCCAATCATTTGGCATTGAAAGCTCTCCAAGCCCGTCCAAACCACCAATGTTGATCGCCTGTCCTCACCCTCATCAAAGGATCTCAAATCACATATAACTAGACATCAACGTGCACATCGCTCGAACTGTCATACGACTTAAAATTAAAATGGCGATGACAAGTTTCACCACAAATACAACACCTTGTAAAAGGGGTACGCATAAAACTAAATTATCGTAGTTTGAAACAACTAAGTAGGGTAACAGAAATTCACAAATACATATGATAGACATCATATCGCATAAGTTACATACTATTTCTCAAATACATAAAAGCATCATAAACTGTTGGCCACTGACTAATGAAAGAAAGACCTTATATTAAAGCTATTTTGCTAGAATGAAAATATTTCCTACATTAAACTCAATTGTAGTGCCAATGCTATGCATTCAACAATTCAGAGTGTCATCAAAGAGAATTCACTGGTTTGCAGTTCTTGATACCAACGCGAGGTTTTGATAAAAACCAGTACGAGAGAGAGAGAGAGAGAGAGAGAGAGAGAGAGAGAGAGAGAGAGAGAGAGAGAGAGAGAGAGAGAGAGAGAGAGAGAGAGAGAGAGAGAGAGAGAGAGAGAGAGAGAGAGAGAGAGTATTATGGGCGAAAACTTCTGGAATATTGGAGCTAAGTTGAAAACAAATGTCATAACAAGAATATTCATAGTTTGCAGTTCTTATACCAACTTTCAGAGAGAGAAAGAGTGAGGGTTCCTGGATGGGACCGTTTCATCGAGAAGCAAATTGGTTTGACCAATCAATATAACAGCGCAGTTGGGTTAAACCCATTCACAGTCATCCCTCCATCAACAGAGATAACCTGACCCGTGATGTATGATGCAGCCGGCAAGCAAAGGAATGCAGCTAGTGATGCGACCTCCTTGGGTTCTCCAACACGCTGAAGTGGGGTCCGAGATATTATCCCGTCGTAAAACTCCTTGTTCTTCAGCAGCTGCAACATGAATGTTTTAAATGCGACACGGTGAGAGTAAGTTGCTGGTCGTAACCACAAGGCGATCAAAGACAGGGTAAAGGTTTAATTACATTTTCCACAAGCGAGGTCCTGATATACCATGGAGCTATGGAGTTGCTCCTAATGTTGTCTTTTGCCCATTCACAAGCCAGGTTCTTTGTAACTTGGTTCATTGCACCTGACCAAAAAAAACGAAGGGCATTTGGTTTTTCAAGACCCACAATCTTTTCAATAGCAATGTTGAAGAGAAAAGGGGGGAAAAAATCAAAATCAAAATTTCAACCTTTAGTGGCAGCATAAATAGATCCAGTGCCTAAACTGACGACCCCAGCAACCGAGGAAATGAAGATGATGCTACCAGCTCCTGATGCTTTCAGGAGAGGATGAGCAACTTGGCAAAGATGATAGGCAGAATCAAAGTTGGTAGCCATAATTTTTGAAAATTCTTCAGCTGTATAGTCGACGGTTGGCTTCCTAAAATTCGTTCCAGCATTGTTTATCTGGCATCAGAAACATCACATACTGTCATTTCCAGAGTCCAGTAAACAAGCTTTCTTCAAACAAGATGTACAATTAAATAATAAAGTCATCTCATCTATCAAATGCGGGAAAGCAGAATTCAAAACAAAAGATAGCCATACCAGAGAACGTATGCCTATTTATTGTCTATAACCAAAAGTGCAAAATGATGAAACTTAACAGACCATATAATGTTTCGATTTCAGAAATCCTAAAAAACAAAGGAAGGAACGAAATTGAGAAGAAACTCTAGCAATTGAATGGCTTTTGTTGCCTCCATTAGTTCTTTCTTATGAAATTGCCAAACTCAGATGAGTTTAGATTATTCACAAAAAAAGTATACAGATCCCAAAGTGTAACATTTATGAGAAAAGATGAAGCAGAAAGAAACAGAGAATAGCATGATTCTCTGCATCACTAATTTTCTTTCCATGACACTTTCCATTACATTGCTTATAAAAAAAGACCTCGTTCCTTTCAAGGAACCATTGTCCAGACACTTCCCTTTCTTATAAATATGAAAGTCAGTATGGTGGTTCTTTGAACTGCTTTTACCCGACCGACCAAAGTCCAAAATATCCACTCTATAATATGCTTGTGCGTGCGAAATGTGAATCCTTCAAAAGTTTGTCGAGTTTCCTCAATTCAGTGTTCACATCTTGTAGAAAACTTAGAATCCTCAACTCTCTGCATTTATGTTACAACCAAGCTTCTAGCCATGTAAAATATTTAATACTCAACTCTTATCATGGAGGCATTTCCTTGCAAGCAGGCTCTGTCACAAGCTTTACCGTCACTCGACTCACACGATCAATCATTGTTAGATATGGAAAGCATGAAGCATATTAGTTTAAGCGACTACATGGAAGGCATTGACAGCATACCCTTGCAACATCGTGGAAGTAAATTAAACCTCAAACACCTCACCTAAAATCTGAGCCTTGACATGTCATAACCTGGACGTGTCAGAACATGTAAACATCACTAATTCAGCTCGGTTACACCATATGCTATTCGATACAGTTGATTGATGATAACTACCGGCATAACCACATATCTAACTAGCTATGGTTCATTCTTTTCCAACATTTCTCCTTTTACGTTCCCCGGGACAAGGCAGAGCAATTTCCCCAGGATATGGAAGTCCGCGAGTTATATAAAACCCATGAATCAAACACACACACACAGAGAAAAGATTAAAAATAAAAAATCAACAAGCTGACCAGCTGTACTCTAAGCATTCGGTTGCCATGATCATCAAAGTATACGATCATGCCAAACATGTAAAGCTGCGAACTTCAATTATCATCCCTAAGAAACAGAACCGCCTTGCACGTGGGCCTAGTTTATTCAAGAAATAGAATCGTCATCGATCAATCCCCCGCGCTTGCCAGGACCATATTATAGTCATCACTTTCCACACCATCACAAGAACTACACGCGGTGCAAATAGCCTCAAGCGAACACAACTGCAGACAACACGTACGGAACAAATCAGAACTCACGAGAATGTTGAGCCTGCCGCCGAACTTAGAGGACACCTCCTTCATCAGATCCTCTCGCTGATCACGAGAAGACAAGTCGCAGACCGACCCGGTGACCCGAAAGCCCTTGCCTTCCCATTCCTTCAGGCACTTGCTCAGCTCGCCCTCGTTCCTCGAGCAGGTGTGCACGGTCGCGCCGAACCCGCTCAGCTCCTCCACTATCGCGTGCCTGAGGGGCGGAATTCAGTATCCAAATGATCGGAGGTTTCGAGAGCGGAGAAAAAACAGGAATTCTATCTGCCCGCCACTAAAAAGATTTACCCGATGCCGCGGGTGCCGCCGGTGACGAGAGCAGTCATGCCCCGGAGAGTCCATCGCGATGCTCTGTCGTTGCTCTGGGCCTCCGCCATGGATTCAGTTCTCAAGCTCTCTCTCTCTCTCTCGCTCGCTCTCGCTCTGTCTGGTTTCCGTGCGGGAGTTCGCGCGGGGAGTGGGGGTTGGTCGAAGAAGTCTCAAAGAGGAGAGAGAGAGAGAGAGAGAGAGAGAGAGAGAGAGAGAGGGGGTTGTTAGCTATCCATCGCTGTTTGCCACGTAATCTGAATTTTGTCTCTCTCTGCATTTTCTGGATAAGTGGGAACTAACTTTGGGCTAATTCTAAAAAAAAAACAAAACACTAATTTTATTTTGAGTGACAATTCTGATTCGAATTTTATTTTTATCTTATAAAAAATTACAAACTTTTACTTAAATCTCAAATCTAGTCCGAACAATTTAAAAATTTTACGTCACATGGACAAGATTTGGGGTAATACACATTTTTCTTAAATTTTTAATTATTAATCATTGGGAACTTACATTTTGTTATTGCTGTTAACCATCCCTTTATGTTTTCCATTAGTTTGTGACTTCTGAGGCATGAATGTGTACTTGATTTTTATTTTTATTTTGGGATAAGAGAATCCCTAAAACTTATTACGAAAGTGTAATTGAGTCCTAAAATTTTGAAAAAAATGCAATCAAGTCCTAAAGTTTGTCGAGTAAGTGCAATCGAGACCTAAAACTTTCAAAAAATGTAATTAACGGAAAGACTTGATTGGACTAATTTGACAAGTTGCAGGACTTGATCGCACTTTTTGAAAGTCTAATGACTCAATTGCACATTCGTGACGAGTTCTATGACTTAGTTGCACCTTATGAAAGTTTTAGGACTCAATTGCAATTTGGTGACAAGTTTTAGGATTTCCAATACATTTATCCGTTTTTTTTTTACAGAAGTCTGTCTTTTACACATGCTTTTTGTAAAGGACGTGAAAAGCAAAAAAGTTAGTGAAAGTTAAATTAACTAAAATATAATATTGCATAAAATAAGTATCAATAATAATACTACAAAATGAAAATAGCTAGAACTCTATGAAAATGTCGGTTGAATTGATGACATACGTTAAGAAAAGAAAACAATTAAGTGAAAAGAAAAAAAAGGTTAATATCACGAAAAACTTCAAACTGGTACACCTATGACAAATTTACCTCGAACTAATTTTTTGACCACCAAAAATTTTAAACTGGTACACCTATGACAAATTCACCCCAAACTAATTTTTTAACCACAAAAAACCCTAAACTGATGTGACAATTTTACCCAAAACTAATTTTTTGACCACAAAAAACCCAAACTGGTACACCTTTGACAAATTTACTCCGAACTAATTTTTTGACCACCAAAAATCTCAAATTGGTACATTTGCGACAAATTTATCCTCCGTTAAATTGAATTAATATCACGAAAAAAACACAAATTCGTAAACTTGTGACAAACAAAGGGGTAAAAACCAAACTGGCACACCTGTCGACTACCATGTGTCATCAAACTTAGTAATTTGACAGTAAAATTTAACGAAAACTAATATAAGGTAAATTTATCACGGGTGTACCAATTTAGGATTTTTCGTGGTCAAAAAATTAGTTTGAAGTAAAATTATCACAGGTTTACCAGTTTGAAATTTTTCGTGATCAAAAATTTAGTTTGGGATAAATTTGTCACATATGTACCAGTTTGAGGTTTTTCGTGATATTAACTCAAGAAAAAAAGACGCCTCGATAACAAAAGGTTAAATAACAAAAAAATTAAGTACTCATTTTGTATTTTCAAATGGTTTATTAATGCAAAAACATGATAGATCGATAATAAATATTTGAAAAATCATGTTAAATTTCGGCCGGTCAATTTCTTTTATGAGTTGAGGACATTGTTTCCTTTTAAAAATTATACTTCAAAATGAGGTAGATGATTTTTTTTTGGTCGAATACGTACATGATTTCAATTACTAATATTTTAGTTAGTTTGATTTTTCCCTCATTTTCCACGTTTTTTCATTTTTTGCAGCAATTAAGAGTAAAATAGAGATCGTCATAAGAAAAAGTGATGTGAAATTATACTTTTACCCCTTATCAATAATGTGTGCTGCACATGCTAACAGAAAAAAGAATAGCGGTAACAAAATGAAATCTCAGAGGGGGTATTGCGAAAAGATTGAAAGCTGGAGGGTAAATGTGTATTATCTCTAAAGTTCGAGGGGTTTTGTTTAATTTCTTCAAAAATATAATAACTGGTTTCATTTCAACCCGTGAACAAAAGTTGGATATAACAAGTTTTGGTGGCTTCAGTTTCCGCGTCATGCGCCTGTGTCGATTGATATAACAAGTTGATTCTGAAGATTCAGATCCTAATAATGCCTGCATCGGTAATTCCGTATGCCAACATGCTAATACCGGGTATTCCGACAACGCGAGAAGATGGTTTCTCAAGTAATCATCTGTTTGAGATGCTTACAGGACTATGCATCTCGACAATTCATTGCTTTTGCATTCATTCACTGTGACGATCTAAGCATTTCGAAAATTTACATTAAGACCTTATGTCTGGGTGGAAATGAGTTCGAACCCCATATGAAGACATCTGATGAAGGATGACAAAGAATTATCGTCCAAAATGATAAGAATCATCAGCTCTAAGATCAAACACATATAAGACAACCTTCTTTGGATCAAATGATCGAGCTATGTTCAGTTTTCGACGATTCGATGCGCTGCTCAATGATGATACAAACCCTCCTCTTCCTCCACTCATATAAATGTAGCTTATTGAACAGGGTGTAAGGGAAAGATTATAAACATCCGGTACCTAATCAAATACATCGAACAGGGTTTACGTCAGGCGTGCGAGAGAGATGATTAGGAGCTATATCATCGCGTTGAAGAGATATTATCCAAGTACCACACGATATACAGATCGTTTACATATATAAGGAAGCAAGCCCATCATTCTTGCTCAAAATACAATACAAACTCAAGATCTGGAGATCAATAGAAATCTCAGCTCCAACGAATAAGTCCGAGCTAAACTCTTTCCTTCATTGTCGTGCTATATACCCAGAAAAAAACTGTCGTATGATTAATTGCAAAGCAGTGTCTCACGTGTTCCGTTTCCAGTTGTAGGATTCACCCTAAAAGCAAAAAAAGAAAAGCAGTCCATATAATTACTGGCGCACAGATGATGAAACTAGCCACCTCTGTAATAAGATCTTTACCCATCTGCAACTTTGCAAAGGTACTCTCGTTGATCGTCTCTCAGAGGCACATCTGTGAAGTCTGCACACAGATGGAGTTAATAATCCAAACATTGCAATTTATCGAGAAAGTTAGTCCAAAACTGGGGCGTTCCTGGAAGTCACTGAATATTAAATAGATTCTCTTTTTCACTGGTCTTCTTGTGTGAAGAGTGAGAGTAAATATAGTGCTCATCTGATTCTTGTGATATCACGAGAAACGTTATTTCTCTAATTTCAAAAGGTGCTCAATGGATCGAACTCAAGGATTTATAATGGCAAATAAAGACCAGATATTTAATGTGGTAATGACAAATCCTCAGGCATACAAGCCCCAAATTAGCTTGCCTCATGAGCCCTAGAAGTGGAAAATTAAAGGCTTAGAAGATATAAGTGAATTGAAAATTTTACATACCTGCACCTTTTATGTTTGATCCCTTAAAAGATGTGTTTCCTGTTGCTAGTGCACCTTCTAAGTTAGCATTGTTTAGATTTGCCTGCAGAAGAAAAGAAGCAGTGCTTACATTTCACACGAATCTCATCGTTTACATTACTGGCAAGTATGTTTAAGTAGTCTCAAAGCAGATTCAGTCATGGCATGGTGACATGCATAAATTACATGCATTAATCTTCACCATGAAATCCCATCATCAGATTATTCTGATGGCCATCATAATCTATACTCTCTTCAACGGGGCAGTCAACGTGGTGGCAACTGATGTTGACAAAGCATTGAGACTTCAGCAGATTACTTTCCATTTGCAAAGGTTTAGCAGTTTTTCCTATTTATATTTACCAATTTTCATTCCCTTCCATTTTCAGAATACAAAAAATACTAGCTCCTCAAAGTTAAGCCCAAACCACTCGACAAACTCTGGAGTTAGTCTAGCCTCCCCTATTATCAGTTCCCTCAACAGTCAACACTTGGTTAGTTAAGGATATTGAGCATCCGTGGAGCATTTATTGAGCAGGTTTTACAGACGTTAGATATAATAAACAGTGGCCAAACACTTAGAAGATTGACGTGGATTAAAAGATATTCAAAAGGTGCACCTTTGTTACATTAGCCAAGGAAAAGTCGGCACCTCTGAGATCAGCATCTGAAAGGTCAGCCCCTAAACACCAGGTACGAAGCAGGTTATTGTGCCATAAGCGTCATGAGGAAAGGAAGTATAGAGTAGAACAACCTCTGTAGTAAAATGTTCATGATATCACCCTGTAAGGTTAATGCTTTTAACAACTTGGACCATAGGCTGTTGACGAACAGAAGAAAGTTTCACAAAACCCGTTGAAGTAGACAGTAAGTTTCATGTCAGCACAAAAATATTTCTTACCCTTGCTGGGTAAGAGTAAACAATTTCGGGAAAGACTATAGCACTTCACTGACTGAGAATTTCCACATTCGCAAAATGCGTTTCACTAATGTGCATCAAATCATTTAACCACTTTTCCAAGAGAGCCATTCAAGCATCAAAATTTCTAACTCTTGCAGGGTCTTATAACATCTTACAATTTAAAGAAATAGGTTTCTAAAGTGTCATATTCTAGTACTTTATTATACGTGATCGTCAGGTGCATTCCCTTACAATAGACAACTTATCACAGGCAAACCAAAGAACACTAAAGCAAAGAAGAAGGATGGAAAACCTGTCAAATCAGCATCGAAGAAGCTTGCACCGAGTAAATTTGCACCTTTGAAATTGGCTTGTCGGAGTATGGACTGAGGCAGAGAATTGCCTTGTCGATTTATAAGAATTCAATCAAAGACCACCAAAAGCACTCAATACAAATTATCTTAGGGGTACCGTTTTGAAGTCTTGTTTTATTAGAGTCTTGCCACTGAAATCCTTCCCGGTAAGATCCTGACCCCTTGTAACTCCCACACCGTATGGACCTCCTCCCTTGCATAAACAACCCCATAATCCCAATTCACAAACCGACACATTGAACGCCCAGAAATGACAAAAGAACTAAGAATTGCACGCAGGTCAAACATAACACTATTTTCATCACTCCATCCTGTGTTCTTTAATCTCACTGGGCTGAATTTTCACCCAAAAGACTGCCTATTTGACAGGAGGGGCACAAGTCCTTCCCTACGGAGCGGCAACCAAACGTGTAATTCGACCAAAATTTTGCCAAGAAAAGACTTACTCGATTCAAATTTCAATCTTGCAGCAGAATAAAATGAAACCCAAGATTCGTAGACACAAAGAGGCAACTCGAAATTAGGGTACCTTAAATGCGAGAGCAGGATCAGCAAAGAACAAGGAAGCGGACAAAAGGGCAAGCGCGCTTGTTCTTGCTACGGATTCGCACAATGCCAAAGGCGAGGCAAGATTTCGAACCTGCCACATTGGAAGCACCCTAACTGAGTAGTGACGATTCTTGATAATCACCCAGACCGTGAATAGGGAGCAAAACGAGAGTAGCGGTGAAGATCGAAACTTTCTTACCGGTGGACGAGAATCGGAGCAAATGGGGAGACATGAAACCCGGAGAGGAAGAGATTTGGAGGGAAAGAGAGGGGACTTTGGCGGGACTCTGGAAGTGCACGGAGAGACGTTGAGAAGCGCCATTGCATCGATGGAGAGAGTGGGGAGAGCGAGCGTGCTGGCGATGGAGAAGAAGACATGCGGTTTACTGGATAACGCTGTCTAAAATTCAGTTTGAAAAAAGGTTAGGAAATGGATAAATTGCTTGCAATAAAAGTTTTTGGCTGTCTCATCGACAGGTGATTATCACAAACCAACTCCAAGAAAATGTATAAACGTTTTCATTGTTAAAAGTATCCCATTTAATTCTAACGACGAGGATTAGAGAGCCAAATACTAATTATCGAGTGTCGAATAGGGTAGGGTAATCGTTGATCAAGGAAAGATTAGTAGAAATTATTGCTGCTCTCTAAAACATTTGATGAAAAATTCAAGCTTCATGATGAGGAGCTCGCTCCACCAAATCAAAGTTCATTAAGTTTTTGCCAAAAGTTACTGGATTAACGTCAACATCGGGATTGAGTTCTACCATGATGCTTTCTTTTTTTCCAATGAAGTTGTTGGCGATGCATGTCGTGTTTAATAAGATAAGTCATTCTTAATCCTACGTCATATCATTTTCCACTCCAAAATAGAATATGAAAAGTTAAAGGAGATTTTTTTTCCTATCTTATCCTAAACTAGTTCGTAGTAGCAATCAACCACAACCTAGCTAAATGTACATGGGATTCATTACATTAAACAGAGCAAAAAAATCTCATTTTCACCGAAATCATCACATCCCACTCCAAAATTGGCTCCGCCCCTTGGAGCCCAGAGGAAGCCGATGGCCATGCGACAACTGTATAGACTGCCACAGTTCAAAAAGCTTAGAACCTTCTTGGGACTTCACTTTCCTAAACCGTTTCCACTGTTCAGCCATGGACAACTGCTGAAGACCTCACGGTCCACACCTTCAAAAAGTCTCTCCAGAAGATTTGGGCAGTTGTCACAAAACGGATTCTGATCCTCCCAACCATAGAAAGGGGGGAACTGTTGGTTCATTGAGCTTTCCAAGGTCTGGAGGTTGGTGGTCGTTGCAGCTTCTGCCTGAGGAAGAAGTGGGTCCTGCAGATGGTTCAGATAGAATTGCATGTCCATGGCATCATTCTCCGAGAAGTGTGGTCCAGAATCGCAGGAGTTATCAGGAACAAATGAATTTCTCCAACTGGGAACCCCAACTCCAAGGTTGGCCATTTGGGTCCCTAGATTCTCTATTTCCTCCTGCAGATTAGCCACCTGCATGTTCATGCAAAGATAATCAGTACTCTTAGGTATTGCTCATTAAATTCTGATGACAAGTCATGTTTCTTAATTTCATTTGAGACCATATCATGAGGGATGAAAAGTTGGGGGGATTCAAGGTTGAGTAGTGTAAATACTGTATTGGTCACATCTAGAAAGTCCCTATTAACATAATCAAGCCCTAGCCCTGCGTAGGGCATGAGGTGGATGCATGAGAAGAGTCTGTACATAGTTCACAAAATAAAGGCATTAACTCCCTCATAACAGGACAAAGCCACAAGGAAACAGGACAGACTTGGTGAGAGAGATCAAAAGAAGACCTGCTCTTGGAGTGCAAAAATGTGAGCCACGCAGCCATAGACGGGATCACCCATCCTGGCCAGGGCTTCATAAGAAATGGTGATCGCAGCATCGCTTCGGGTGTGCACCGGCAGGTGCAGCAGCAGTTTGGACACATTGCTTGCGCCAAACACCTTGTGAACGGCCGCGAAATGGGTCGAGGCCTGGTCGTAGCAGAAATAAGGAGCGAAAACACAGTCACTGGTGCACTTCCTCCTCAGGAACTTGCATGCGCCACATGAAGAGCCAAGCCCTGTCATTGTCCTGACCCTTTTTAAAAACCAACAGTGTCAAAATGGGTAATGTTTTCGAGTGGTATTTACTTAAACTTTGGGGGAGGAACTTGTTTGTTTAAGATGAAGAAGCAGTTGAGATTTCCTCTTTATAACCATCATTTGAATAAGGGATAAATTTCTCTTTTGGTTGGGGCTGAGACTCAAAGAGACATTCTCCCTTTAATTAAAAGCGTGAGCAAACTTTTAGGTTTCCTTTGTGGCCTACATTGTCATTTTCAAATAGGGTAACCTTTCCTAAATTATGCCTTAAAAGGGCTCTTAATTCGTGAAGATTCTCCCCCAGTTACACCAGCAGATAGAAAGAGTTCATCATCTTTCTGATAGGTTGGGCTTTTTTAAATGGAAACAGTAGAAGCAAATAGTGCTTTTTCTAGCATTTCCTACAGTTGGCAAGTACAATAACTATTTCTTTTCTCTCATAACAATAATTCAAAGTACCGTTTGCCTAAAGAAATATGATGCCAGAGGGAAAAAGACGATTAGAAAGGTCTCCGCACTTCCCAAATTTAGAATCGGCAACTTGGGGGCGTGCATTCCAAGATGATGATTTGCACAGAACAAGCATACACACAGTACAGAGCTGAGCATGGGGAGTAAAACTTTTGTCAAGGCAAAGCTCAAGACTGTACCCGTAGGGGCATAGTCTTCTCTATAGCTAGATACTTCAAAACGGAGAAAAGCAGCCAGCCATTCATTGATGACTATGGTTCTTCTGCAAACTGTTGAGAAATTATACGGCACATCGTTTCTGACTTAAAATTAAAAGGGTCATGTTGGACAATGACAGTTCTTTAATTGCTCAATGTGAGCACTGACGGGACCCATCAGCTGTCGACTAAACGTGCCCAAATGTGAATGAAAAACCCTCATTTAACACCATGCAGATAACCAATGGCATTCTTCTTTTCTTTTTGTCTCATGAGGACTTTCGGTCAGAATCAACTGACAGAGGTTGGTGCATTACGGCTTGTGACATAAAAAATTCCGATGGTTTAGCTGTACATTGTCTACATTATCTTCATCTGCGAGCTTAAAGCTTTCCTAGCTTAGGGATTGGGCAATAGAGTGCATGACTCGTGACGGCTATTTGTCCGGACTCAATTAATTCCTCCATTATCGTGCATTCTTTAATCCGCCTGGAAGAACTCAATGAGGTTGATCGTCCATGCATTATTTCTCAGTATTCTAATCCAAACCCATTATCAGGTTTGGCTGTTGGCCACTCAATAAATAATGGGTCATTGTGCTGTGTGTGCTCAAGGAAATGGACCCCCAAAAGAAGCAGAGGAGGCCATTGAAGCAGAACAGTTCACACTGAACATCAAAGGCCAAAGTGGGTGAGAAAAGAAATGGGATAAATTAAGACTTCTTGTCCTACTAGTGCTTCAAAGCTCTAGAAACAAAAGCAAGCGATTGGTAATTCGAGAGAGAAATGAGGAGGGGACAGGTGCTGTTTTGAGTTACATGAACGGCCAACTTTGTGTCTTGTCACAGAGACTGTGAAGGCCTCAATCTTTGATTAATCTTTATGTTCTGGCGTTGTTTTCTTTGGAAGGATGAAATGCATGGTGGAGAAAGTGACTTTAGGTGGCAAGTATGACGCTTTCGAGATTAACGATGAAAGTGTCTTTCCCTATCATGGATCAATTATCAGTCGTTTTCTGAAGTGCTTAGGTTTTTGGGGGCTCATGGCTGGTGTCCACATGTGCTTGTCCATTAACCCTAGCCGTATTGTTCCCACAGAAGCCAAGTCTACATATTGATGGGTCTTTTCTATGCCTCGTTGGCCTCTACAATTTACTAATTCGTTATGAATTAAAAGTCCCTTTTTTTACCTAATTGAAACAGGATAATTGCGAAAAAAAAAAAAAGTTAGAAATCTAGTGTACGGATGCCAATTCAATCATAAACATTTCAATTTGGCCAATTAATCCATAATTTTTTGGCGATTTATCAATGTAGTTGTTCTGGCCAATTTTGTTTGGAAAACGCCGATGTCGACGATAGTCGTTCTATGTGGCACAACGGGTTAACATGGGAAACTTTTACAATTTTTTAATGAAAATTTCTATATTATTATTATTATTATTATTTCTTTTCTTTTTTTTTCCTTTCATTGAGACCAGTCAAGGCCTGCAAGTCCTTGCTGGCCACTGGCGAGGGTCACGGCCCTCTTGTAGGCCCTCGCTGATGGTGGGCGAGAGTGTGAAGGCCTCACCAAATCTAGGCAAGGACCATAACCTCGACGGCCACAATGAAAAAAAACGAAAAAGATAATAAAATTTTAGCAAAAATTGTTCACGTCAACGTCATCATGCCACGTAGAACGGCTGACGTTCACATTAGCGATTTTCAGCCAAAATTGGCATGAATGACTACATTGGCAAATTGTCAAAAGGTTTAAGCTAAACTGGCCAAATCAAAAGATTTAGGATTGAATTGACATTTGTACAATAGGTTTATGACTTCTTTGATAACTTTCTCTAATTGAAACTTACTAATAGGTATACATAGTGACTTTTGAAGAATAAAAATATGAAAAGATACCTACTATAACATAATTATCTGAAATGTTGTTACCAATTCTTTTATGGGAAAAAATTAATAAATACATCGAGGAATTTATACATGTAGGATAAGATTGGAAGTTACTTTTCCTCATCGAAACTCTCTAAACACATGAAAAATAATGGCTAACTAAGGTGTTCACCGACGGTGAATCACTGTGATCAATAACTTTTTACATTGACAAATTAAGTTTATCCTCTAACAGCTAGTAATTTCTTCACACTTGATTAGTAAATTTTCCATTATGAAAGTAGATTTCGTGATATTTACAAATAATGGCTAACTAAGGTTTTCACCGTGATTAATAACTTTTTACATTGAAAAATTAAGTTCATCCTCTAACTGCTAGTAATTTCTTCACACTTGATTAGCAACTTTTTCCCATTATGAAAGTAGATTTCGTGATATTTCTTCACACTTGAAGCCAAAGTTCTACTCCATTAACTTAGGCTTCATCAGAAATCTGATACTGTTGCCACCAAAGTCTGTAAAATGGAGCTTTCGGGCCTTGATAGATGATCAGATGCCGGCCCATCAGTCCCTCAGAGCCCAAAACTACGGCCCACAGATTACTTGGTGATTCTTTAATTCTCGTTTCAAGTTTGGGGGACCCGAAATTTATCCATATGATGGGCAGCCATCGAGGGGCGGGCTGAACGGCAGCTGGCGGCTGGGCCGTCTAGTGTACAGTAATATTTTCATTAACTTTTCTTTGGGAAAATGACATAAATAGTCCCTGAACTTTGACTCAATGTTCAATTTGGTCTCTGAACTTTTAATTTGTTCAATGTAGTCCCTAAACTTTAACCTAATGTTCAATTTGGTCCCTGAACTTTTGATTTGTTCAATGTGGTCCCTGAACTTTTAATATGTGTTCAATTTAGTCCTTGAACTATTTGAAAATGTTCAATATAGTCCTTCAATTAATTCAAGTGCAGGGATTATATTGAACATTTCCATATAGTTCAGGGACTAAATTGAACACATATTAAAAGTTCATGGACCAAATTGAACATTATGTTAAAATTCAGGGACTACATTGAACAAATTAAAAGTTCAGGGACCAAATTACAAATTAAGTCAAAGTTCAAGGACTATTTGTGTCATTATCCCATTTTCTTTAATTCAATTATTATCTTGTAAAATCTGGGTATCTCACTCCCTTCGTGGTTATATTACGTCGAACTCCTTAACCCGCCTCCTTCAAGTTAACACTCTGCATTTTCGCGGAAATGATTTGACGTTCGCCATACAGATTCGTCTTTACAGCAGTGAATATGACGGCATCATTACATACTTGTTTCCACAGATATCGATAATTAATTATGTATACATATAATCTTTTATTTTGTTAAAAAATATATATATAATCGCAAGATTCGCAAGAATGTAGTCAGTCTCATGTCATAACTACTCTGGAATTCCCCACCTTCCCGGACCACATACATCTTCCCATTGTGTCCTAACCCTTTTTTCTTCTAGAGAGCTCCTAATTAAGAAGTACGTCTTATCCACACCAAACTAACGAAACATTATTTATTTTATTTTTTTAGTATTATTTGTGGCCCGCCGGATCATTTGGGGCTTGGTTCTTTCAATCACCCACGTTTAAATATGGTGACGGTGACACGCAAACATACGTCACCACTCACCTCATCAAAAGCATCTTTCGGGAAAAGATATAGGAGAAGAGAAAAGATGCACGCGGGCAGTTGTTGACCTCGGACGCTTTGCCTCGCGAAACAAAGCCCCGAAACGACATCGAAGCCAATGAACTTTCGTTCCCGACGATTAACACTAATCATAATTAACCACAGAAAAGGGACTTATCATTAGTCAACGAATCAGAGTGGAAGGGGCGAAGCTCATCTAATTATGAAGTTAATTAGGCTCGGCATCACCCGAGTCCCGGATGCTTTTCGCGCATAATTGCGGGGGTTAAAGGACGATTAGCGAGGCTTAATGATCCCGGATTATGGACATTGTTCACGACCTAACGCAGTTAGTTTCCTTAAACGGGTCCGCTGCTTAGGACCACCCCACTATCAATGGTTCGGAAGCTAAGTCAACTCTCTGCTGAGACTTCTGTGTAGCCTTGTTCCGAGGGATTAATGGTTTAGTCAAATTTGCTGCTTAAATTATTATCTAGAAATCGTCGGAGACTTTTGTCCAGCCCTTTGACTTTTTGGGTTTTTGGCTTTCTAATTTTCAGTGCTAATGTAAGACTTTTTTCCACACTATGCATCCACCATTGGTGTATGAAGTGTGAATGCCGACATTTAGAGCAATCTACGAATATTCTCGTAATGTTCTTCTCATCAAAATCATGTTTTTTCTTCACTTGGCTTAAAGGAAATCGAAAGATCGTTTGGTAGATGACCCTTCTTTTTTACTTTGCTGGTCAAACGCTGACTAGAAAGTGGGAATTAGGAGCGGCAAACTATTGGCAGATTTACCACGCGAGAGAGTAGAAAGTGGGGGAAAAGACAACATGGTTAAAAAGACAACATGGACTGAAAAATGGAATCGTGCGATGCTTTTTCAAG